AAGGTCATGTTTGTACATGAAAGGGACCCTCCTGCAGTGTCAGAGCGGATTGGAGAAGGGCCATTGGGCTACTGAGCGGTGTGTAGTTGATCCCTGTGGATGTGTAAATGTGTGTTTTAAAGATGAATATCACAGTATCTACGATTGGCTTCAAAATCTCTTGGGTATGGGGTGTAGATGAAACAAGTCTGCTATGAGTTGATCGTGTTGATGCTAGCTAATGGGTACCTGTGTGTTCATTATGGTATTCTTTTTACTTTGTGTATATTTGAAATTTTCTACAAGTTTTGTTAAAAGACTATTATAATCTAGAGGTAGCAGTCGTGGTGGAGGGAAGTGAACATAGGTTTGAGAGAATTGGGAGGGAAAGGGTAACAAACCTGAAAGAACAAATGGCCCAAACAGACCCAAGTTGCCAAATGTCCTGCAGAAGGCACAGGGGGGTCAGACACTGAAGGGCTGCTCCCTTCCCTGGAAAGAGACAGTTTAATCACTGTGGTGCTGTGTGTGGTCAGTGCCATTAACCACATTCACAAAATGAAATGATGGCTCTAAACTTTATTTCTGAAGTCAGCCAATAGGACATAGCATTGTTGGAGAAGAAAACAAAGATGAAACAAATGAATATGATAAAATAACAGACTTTTTTAAAAAAAGGCATCAAACTCTTGTAGCAGATACTTACTGAGATGTGATTTGAAATATTGAAAAATTAGAGATGCCTCAGTACCCAATAAGTAAATTTTGGTATTTCTACTCAGTGGACTTTTGAAATCATTAAAACTACGTTCAAACATCCTATATAATAAAAGGCCAATATGCAAATCAACCAAATCGCCAAATGACCGGTCACTATGATGCACACTGACCACTAGGGGCACATGCTCAATGCAGGAGCTGCCCCCTGGTGGTCAGTGCATTCCTGCAGGGGGAGCACTGCTCAGCCAGAAGCCCAGAGCCGGGCTCACAGCTGGTGAGCACAGCGGCGGTGGTGGGAGCCTCTACCACCTCTGCTGCAGGCGGGCAGTAAGAAACGAGGGGTCCTGGACTGCAAAGCCCCGGACTGCGAGAGCCCTGGACTTCGAGAGCAATGTCTGACTGCCAGCTTAGCCGGGGTCCTGGACTGTGAGAGGGCGCAGGCCAAGCTGAGGGACCCTCTTCTCCCCCCCCCCCCCCCCCCCGCATGAATTTCGTGCACCGGGCTTCTAGTTTGTTTATAAAAGAGGAATGAAACTTTAAACATAAAAGGAAGAACATGTATTTGGACATATACAGTGTGGTCTTAATTATGGTTTTCTTTGTTTAGAAAAAATCTGAAAGGAAATATTAAAAAATGTGATGGTTATCCCTGAGATGGGGTTATTGGTGATATTTAATATTACTTCTTTTGCATTTTTCTCTAATAATTGAAGGTGAATTGTGGCTTGAGAAACTGGAAAGCTATATAGTGTAAGGATTTCCTAAGGTTATCTATTTCTGGAAATGAGGGGGACATTTAATAGGGTTAGAGCTAAAGTTTTGGTGGGAGTAGCAGAGAGACCCATCGTGTGTGAAGAGACGGAACATTGACCCAGAATATGTGTCTTGCAGGTGCCATGGACATAGCTTTGGGCTCTGGCGCCACTGGGGTCTTTACCAATTCATCCTGGCTGTGGAACAAACTATTTGAGGTAGGAATAATACATAGAGACCTAAATTGTGGAGATGGTTATTCTAGCCTTAGAATGATAAAGTTCTTCAATCACTGTGTTAGAATGATTTTTGTGCCTTTGAATAGAAAATGCAATAAATTTGATTCATTATGCTTTGGGTTTTCTATAAATGTCTCAAAATAATGGGTATGATACCACCCTCATCCTCTCCTCCAGTAGCCTCACAATGACGTGACAGTAACTCCCAAATACCATGGCCATAGAGTCTCTGAGGTAGAAAAGGTAATGCGGGCAGCTTTGTAAAGGAAGTGGCCTTTAATGAATGAGTGTCATGAGCAAAGTAGGCAAGCATATAAACAGGGCTCGCCTGGTCCATGAGTAGGGGTGATAAGGATGCCTCCGGCTGTGCCTCCTCTGCGCCTTCACAGCCAGCCTCCTCCAACAGCTGTCTCCTGTCACCACCACCCCTGTCCCGGCCCCCGGCTTTCACTCACTGCCATCAGCTTTCCCCTGCCAGCCTCACTCTGTTAGCCTCGCTTAGACTGTGCAGAGGCCGCGTGTAACGCTGACCTTTTGGTGACACCCCATCTTGGCCTCTGTGATAGTCTCTGGTCCCTTTCTTCACTGACTTCTCTGCCAGTGTTTTCCTTTGTCTACCCCTTTGGTGGGTGTTCAGTCACGGGCCACCGGCCCTTCCTGCTGTCCACGGTCCGCACTGGAAGCTCATCTGTTCCGGGGCTTCAGCTCGCCCCTCCGATGATTAGTCCCATCTCGCTCCCGAACTCCAGGCCCTGCATCCACTTGGCTACCAGGCAGCTCCATGTGGCACCTCATTCTTTCAACAAGTAACTGTGCCAGTAGGAGCAAATACAAAATGTCCCTGACTACATTCTTGATGTTGGTTTAAGGTCCTAAACTTCTTTTCACCCTGAACTGCTTCCTTTTCATCTTTGTCTTCTCCCCATTTGTGAACCCCCACCCCCTCCTCCATGATATCAGCTCAGTTGTCTCCTCCCAGGCTGGGCCGTGGGCCTCCCCTCTAGCCTCCCCTGCATCCAGTGTCTCTATCTTAGCACCCACGACACTGTCAGGTTTTTAAAAATATGTAGGCAACTTTGAAAAGAATCAAAGTGGTATGTGCAACATTATTTAAATAACTGAGACCCTTAATATTAGTCTGATGATATTAGCAAATGCCCTACAAATTTGTGGGATTGTTTTATAACATACTTGTTTCTTCTTATAATTCTTAAGTAAATGTTTTAATTAATAATAAAATGATTGTGGAACCTGCTATGTAGCTTGATGTTCTAGAGCAGTGGTTCTCAACCTTCTGGCCTTTAAATACAGTTCCTCATGTTGTGACCCAACCATAAAATTATTTTCGTCGCTACTTCATAACTGTAATGTTGCTACTCTTATGAATCGTAATGTAAATATCTGATATGCAGGATGGTCTTAGGTGACCCCTGTGAAAGGGTCGTTCGACTGCTAAAGGGGTCGCAACCCACAGGTTGAGAACCGCTGCTCTAGAGTAATAGGTCAGAACAGCTCTTTTCTTCCTGCATTGAACACCCACATTCAGAGCCACGTTTACCTAATCCCTTACATCATCCACTCTTCCAACTTGTGCCTGTTCCCTCTGTAGGCCAGTGTTGAAACAGGGGACCGTGTCTGGAGGATGCCTCTCTATGAACATTATACAAGACAGGTTGTAGACTGCCAGCTTGCTGATGTGAATAACATTGGAAAATACAGGTATGTAAATGAGCTATAAAAGTGCATTTTCCCAACCAGCATTGGTTGCCAGCGTGACCATTTTCAGTTTTAGTTCTGTTCACAAAAGGTTTAACTGTCCAGTTTTCTTTTGTAGTGCTCATAAGCACTAATTTCTAATGTCTTTAATTTTAAGGCATTTCCCAGTTGGTTCTCAAAATTTTGCATATTTTCAAATCTAAAGGTCATTTTTGACAAATGGTAAGGGAAAGAGTTGGATAATATAGGAATTCATTGCCTTGGGAAAAGGGATATGGAATTTATCCTTTACTGCTTAAAGCTATGTCTAAAGCCCTGGCCAACACGGCTCAGTTGGTTGGAGTGTCATCCTTGCACCAAAAGTTTGCAAGTTAGATTCCTGGTCAGGGCACATACCTAGTTTCAGGTTTGGCCCTCGTTTGGGGCACATACGAGAGGCACCCAGTCAGTGTTTATCACTTCAATGTTTCTCTCTCTCTGTCACTCTCTCTCCCTTCCTCTCTCTAAAATCTATAAACATATCCTCAGGTGAGGATTTAAAAAAATTAAATCTATGTTTGAAGTAAGTATGTGGAAGTGATTTCTGGGTTAACTTCTTAATAGGTCTCATAAGCTTGACTTTTGCTCTCTGGTCATAGACTCTCCTTAGCAAGAATGGAGGATCTTAATAAAACGTTCTGTGCACGTGCAGATGAGGTAACAACCATTTCTGTCTTTTCAGATCCGCAGGAGCATGCACAGCTGCAGCGTTCCTGAAAGAATTTGTGACTCATCCCAAGTGGGCACATTTAGACATAGCAGGCGTGATGACCAACAAAGACGAGATCTCGTATCTGAGGAAAGGCATGACCGGGAGGCCCACGAGGACCCTGATCGAGTTCTTGGTTCAGTTCAGTCAAGACAGTGCTTAGTTCAGATACCGTAAAACTCCTTCATTCCATCTTAAGTGGGCAGTTGAGCTTCAAAATATTTTGCAATGAATGAAAATCTTTTAAAGGAAAAAAGGATGCTGTTTAAAAATGTAGAACAAAATGAAATTTCTATGCCTTGATTTGTTTTCTCATTTTTATGCAGAGATTTTAAAATGTAAAGCTAGTATCTTGCTTGGAAAACATTTTTAAGATAGCCTATATATGATGATTGAATTTTTAAAAAACTAATCACTTTTCAGAGTATATGTTTTTAATTGAAGAGCAAAGTTGTATTTCAGATTTGTGATGCCAGGAACATGAGTTACTATGAAGTTGTCAGAAACAATAAATCCAGCTTTTTGCGCTCCTTGGTGTGGCTCTGATATTTCCTGACGTATTACTACTATAAACCCAGTGATGACTGTAACAGAACCCATCTCTTTGGCGTTGTTATGTGAACTAAGTGAGTTGAGGCACAGGGATAAAGGTGTTATCTCCATGTTAATCGTCACTTTAGGGCACTCTGTGAGCTTACCAGTTTATGACGAGGTACTATCATCCCCATATAGCAGATGAGGAAAACGAGGCACCGAGAGTGAACAGCCCGTTCTGTGCAGACTTTGAAGACAGCTCTCCTGTTTTATTCTGGCAGGGGGTGAATCAAATCACCATGAATAGGATGTGTGCCCTTTTTTTTTTTTTTTTAAGACTTTGAGACATTTGTCAGGAAAAGCTGTTTATGGAGTTACAGTCCTTGGGTTACATCGGACTCGACGTACATTGTTTTATGGTTACGCCATCTCCCATTTATTTATTTAAAAAAAGTTCCATCATTTTGACATATGTACATATGCGCTTTATGCTTTTTATTACTTATTTACCACAAGTAAAGGTCAGGAATTGTTATCTTTTAAATTTTGTTTACTGTTTCCCTTCATTACTGCTGTGTCTGTGATCCATGTGAGTGACGTAGGTTCTTATGTAGGTGGGTTCCGATTTACGGCAAAAATCCCGTTACGTCGCCGTAGGAACAGATCTCTGACGTAACCCGAGGACCTACTGTATTTTTAATATTTTAAAAACTTGACATCTAAGATGAAGTTGTGTCTAAACTGGTTTACAGACAGGGAAAGGAAATGGCCATGCATATTCATGCTATTAGAGTTAAAACCAGGCAGTAAAGGTCTTCCTCCAGGTATCCCTGTACAGAAAGGTGGAACTACCAGCTAGTGAAAAGAAACTGAAATCATTTAGATTCCTTCTGGGTGACTGAGAAGGCCAGGCAGGGATATGATGGAAGGCTTTCTATCAAAGGCCTTTTAGAAATAAAAGAACAATGGAACCCCTGTGTTTACTCGAGTGTGAGATACAGAAGGCTAGGCACAGCCCTGGGTTCATGTGCTTATCTAATCTGGTTGATGCCCATGCATCCAGCTGCCGGCATTTCACAGACCCTTGGCTGATCCTCAGAGCCACGACCGGAGGCAGGTGGTATCTGAGTCGGTTTCAGTGAGGACTGGCTGGGCATGGCTGTGGGGAGCAGCAAACCCAAAGCAGCAGTAGGTTAGAACCATAGTGTTCAAAGGCGGCTGAAAAAGGGAATCCAAAACAAGCAGCCCCACAGGCTGGAAATGTGCGTCACCACCAGGCCTCAGGCTCCCTCAGTCCCAGGTGGCTGCAGGGACAAGGCTGCAAGAAGATGAGGAAGGGGGGGAGCAGGGATGAACGTATTTTAAGGAGCTTTCACTCAAGTCCCACATAACATGCTCAGATCATCAGCCAGAGTAAGTCACGTTACGCCAGGGATTTGGGGAGACGATTAGCTGATGAAGGAAGGGAAAAGAGGACAAGAGACTGGCCACTAACAGTCTGTGACACCACTGCGGAGATGAGGAAACTAAATCTAGTGAATTGCTCATGTTTGTGAACTAGAACGTAGAAAAAAAGGTTAGAACCCAGATCAGTGGATCTGCAAAGCCCAGTATCTGAAACCATACCCTGTCACTTGGTATGTCGGTTAGCATTGGGCTGGCCACTTCCTTGGCCCTTTCTCTACTGCCCACCATATTCTTGAACTTTGGGCTGGCTACTCCCTTTCGTCACTGAGGAAATGTTGGCCTAAACCCCAGTGATGGTGAACCTATGACACACGTGTCAGAGGTGACACGCGAACTCATTTTTTTTGGTTGATTTTTCTTTGTTAAATGGCATTTAAATATATAAAATAAATATCAAAAATATAAGTCCCTTGGGTGTGGAGAGAGCAGAGCGCCTGAAGAACAGCTTCTCTGTGTACAACACGTCCAGCAGCAACTTGGGCATACTCCCCACGGGTGGCAGAACACTATGGCCTCCTGTGACATTACGCCCTATACATAAAAGAAAAACAAAAGAAAAGAAAAGAAATATATAAGTCTTTGTTTTACTATGGTTGCAAATATCAAAAAATTTCTATATGTGACATGGCACCAGAGTTAAGTTAGGGTTTTTCAAAATGCTGACACACCGAGCTCAAAAGGTTCACCATCACTGGCCTCAACCCTGATACTGTACAAATCACACTGGTCTCTCTGTGTGTGGACTACCAGTTTACTCTCAGGTTACTGCCTGATTACTCCTGCCTCCATTTGCTTACCTCTGCTTCTATACTGGGAGAGGCTATTTTTAAACAAATTACATCATGTCACTTGTCTTTTCTCACTGCAACTCCCTACACACATTATCTCTTCTCAGTAATCTTTCCAAGGTAGTGTTCTCCCATTTTTTTACATGAGGAAACGTGTTTTCAACAAAATCCAAATGTGCTCTATTCTGGGGTGAATCCAAGAGAGGTACCACTAACCATTGAGGCAACTTACTCATGGTTAGGTAAACAATGGGTACAGTGTTTTGAGCCAGACGTTTAAGGATTTATACTCTAAAATAATATTTATGTTGCCCAGCTGGTGTGGCTCAGTGGTTGAGTATTGACCTCTGAACCAAGAGATCAAGGTTCGATTCCCATTCAGGGCACATGCCCGGGTTGTGGGCTCGATCCCCAGTAAGGGGCATGCAGGAGGCAGCCAATCAATGATTCTCTCTCATCACTGATATTTCTATCTCCCTCTCCCTTCCTCTCTGAAATCAATAAAAATATATTTAAAAAAATATTTATGTTAATATGTAATGCTTTTAAATAAAATTTTTAATTCTTAGTTTTAATAGGTAAATATTTTACCAATTCTCAATTTGAATAGGTAAATATTGGCCGACATCATCCATATAAGCAAAAACATTTGGAGTCCCCAATAAAATTTTGGAATGTAAAGAAAAGGATCCTGAGATCCAAAAAGTCTGAAAACTGCTGAAGTAGACTAGTTCCCTCCTGGGATTCTATTTTTGTTCATTCAATCAACAAAAATTTATGTCTATTTTATGCCAGACACAGTTCTAGGTGTTGGGAATCCATGTGAAGATAGGCAGGCCCTGATTTCATGGCGCTTGCATTCCAGTTGGTGTGTGTGTGTGTGTGTATGGCAGCTTAGTCAATGAAGAAGAAAACACACAAGTAATTGCAGGTGATGTGTAATGGTGAAGTGTCTGAGAGTGTGGGTCTAAGACTGAGGCTAGGAAGATGACCTCTGACCTGAGTGATTGGCAAAGGGAAGCCCCTGTCTCTGACCATTTCTGCCCTGCCTCACTCACTCTGGCCCTGCTGGCTTTTCTGTGATTCCTTCAATATGCCAGGCAGGTTCCTTCTTCAGGGACCCCTCTGTCTAGAAAGTTTCCTGGCTGAATTTTGTCTACAGCCCACTTCTCCCTGGAGTAGCCTTTTCCAACCACCTATCTCAAATCCATCACTACTAGCCATCTCCTGGCCAGGATACATTTTTTTTTTTGCCTTAGCATTTATCTCTACGTGATATTGCCATATATATATATATATATATATATATATATATATATATATATATATATATATATATATATATATAATATATATAACCTCCCACAAAAACAATAGTAAACTCCATAAGGGCAGAGACTTGGAGTGATCGCTATAACACGCAGATCATCAAATGTTATCTAGGACATGGAGGGCTCAATAAATGTGTTGTATGATCACATATATAACTAAAATTAAACAATAAAAATATATTTACCTTCTGAAAAAATGAATAATCAGCTGTTGGAAGCAAGTTATTAAAATAGTAGCACAGTGACTTTCTGGTGTCACGATAAGGATCTAACGGAACAGTGCCAGGCACATAGATAGGGAACCTCAACAATGTTAGTCATTTTTGTTACCTGTCTCTCCCCAGAAAGAACTGTCCTCGTTATATCCACGATGGCTGGATTAGTAGCTGGTGCACAGCAAGCTCTCGTAAATATTTGTGGAAGGAATGGGTACCTCCAGCTGTTTGCAGCGGGTAAACAGAGCCCATAGACCAGCGGTTCTCAACCTGTGGGTCACGACCCCTTTGAGGGTCGAACGACCCTTTCACAGGGGTCGACTACGACCATCAGAAAACACATATATAATTACATAGTTTTTGTGATTAATCACTAGGCTTTAATTATGTTCAATTTGTAACAACGAAAATACATCCTGCATATCAGATATTTACATTACGATTCATAACAGCAAGATTACAGTTATGAAGTAGCAACAAAAATAATTTTATGGTTGGGGGTCACCACAACATGAGCAACTGTATTAAAGGGTCACAGCATTAGGAAGGTTGAGAACCACTGCCAGAGACTCTTGGCCAAAGTTACTCCAAGCGTTAAGGACAAAGTCCGGCCTCGACCCGCAGCATCGTGACTCCCGCGGGAGAACTCAGTCCAAGGAATGTATTCTCTTCTCTACTCAGCTGTGTCAAATGCGGTCAAAGCCCTTGATTCTCAAGAAAAAAAAAGAAAGGAAAAAGCCAGATCCGGCGCGCGGGGAAGGAAGAGGAGACCAACCCCCAACAGCCCGTTTCCCTGACGCCCAACCAACACCTGCCGGTGCGGGGAACTGCCACGTGATCAGAGGCATCACGTGATTCGCGGACCAGCTGCTGCGCAGGTGCACTAGGCCCCTTCCGGCCATTTCGGAAATGGCGGCTCCGCTGGGAGGTATGTTCTCCGGGCAGCCACCCGGTGCCCCGCCCCCGCCGCCGGGCCTCCCGGGCCAGGCCTCGCTTCTTCAGGCCGCGCCAGGCGCTTCGAGATCTTCTCCGAGTACCTTGGTGGATGAGTTGGAGTCATCTTTCGAGGTAAAAGGAGCCGTGGGAGGTCTATGTCCCATCCTCCCACCGTGCCTGAAATGTAAGCTGCGCATGCGCAGGTCATCTCCATCCGCCATCCCCGCACCCCGCTTACAAACGGGGAGACTGGCTCCGAGACTGGAAGTCGCTTGCTTTCGCCTCCACAGTGAGTGGGACCCGTGCTCCACTCGGGGCAGCTGGCGGAGACGCGCGAACGAGCCGTTTCTGGGGGCACGTGGGCTTGAAGCCTTCCAGGTTCCCACCGGCTGGTCCGCCCCTCCCCGCACCCCTGCGTGTGTAGCGCCGGCCCGCCCTCTCGGGGGCGCACCGTTACCCGCCGCGTCCTGCGCCCTTCCCGCTGGGCTCCACCTCGCAGCGACGCTGCAGTCGTGGGGCCCTTGACCTGAAACGGGCCGATTTTAAAGGTGTGCGGAGCTCGCTGCCCGGGTCGGGAGGCGGGGCAGCTGGGGGTGAAGGAGGGCGGGGCCCTGGCCGAGATGACCCCAAACAGGAATCGGGCCCAAGGAGCACCCTGGAGCCCCAACTCCAACAGGAGCCCTCATTCAGAATGTCCCACAGGACGGGGGGTCTTTTTCTGATTTATTGAACGGTTACAGGGAATTGCCTGGGGGGATATTGTGATTTTTCTCCGTTAAATCAAATGGTGGCACCTGCAGGCAGAAGGGCCCGCCCATCTCGTCCGTGGCCTCAGTGTGGGCCCAGGTCTGCCTGCCTCCTGCCAGGTGCGCGTGCTTCGTGCTGGCAGGGCCCTGCTCTCCCGGGGTTTGGGGGTTCCTTTCTGCCCCCTGTGCCCCCCCCCCCCATCCCGTCCTCTCTCTGGCCCCGCGGCGGTGTTAGGCCCTCTGAGTGGACAGCTCCCCGGCTGAGGCACACACACACCTGGATCCGGGGCCCTTCAGGGAGGACTCCCTCTTCGGGGCTTGTTTTTCCCCTGACGCCGACCTGGCTCTTCTCCTGGGCCCTCCAGTGGGTCATTAGCGTGTGTTTATTGAGCGCCGCTTCGTGCCGAGCACAATCCCTGCGCATGGTGAGCAAGGCAGGCAGTTCTCCCGTGGGGGCAGCTGGTAATGGACTGAAAGCAGGGGTGAATGGCAGTGGGAAACAGGACGGCGGGGCTTGGTGGTGGAAGAGGAGAGGGAGAGGGCCTGCCCCAGGAGCTGGTGGTTTACCCGAGTCCTGAGTGGGTGGTGCGGGTCCTGTGCGCATCGGAGGGAGCAGCCGCGGGCAGCACTGGAACAGGGTTCCGGGCCCTGGTGTGGAGTGAGCGAGTGGGGAGAGCAGTGGGGGGCAGGAGAGACCGGATGGGGTGCCGACCGATTCCAGCCGCCTCATCCGCCGGCGCTTCCTCCCTGGGCCCAATCGAGTCAGTTTACCACGTGTCTTCACTGGCATGATGTCTGGTGTGCAAACCAGATGCTATCAGCTCATTGAATGGCTTCAGGGGGAGCCGTATCTTACCCTAAAGTAGGGTTTTTGATGTGCGAATGACATTTTTTTCCTTCTGTGATATGTTTTGGTCACACAGGCTTGCTTTGCTTCTCTGGTGAGTCAGGACTATGTCAATGGCACGGATCAGGAGGAAATCCGAACTGGTAAGCATGCCCTCTTGTTAGACCTGGTTCTGATGGCTGACTTTACACTTGGTGCGTTTCAGTCCTGCTGGTACCCTCAGAGAACTGTTGTGGGGACGATTTATGCAAATTGCTCATATACTGCTGGTTCTCTGTTCAGTTTATTTAATTGACATCTTGTCATTCATGACGAACCATTCACGATGAACTTTTCATAGCGGCATTAGGACAAAGACCAGTAGTGCGTACTGCTTTTAAAGTAAGTGTTGTTTAGTGTTTAAATAGGTGTGACAGTCTCCTGTGCTTCCTCCTCGCCCAAGTCCTGTCCTCAGAGGTGACCAGTGGTTCTGGTTTCTTTGTACTAGATTTTACATGTTAGGTTTTAACTGGAATCATGCTTCTTGCTGGATCTCTGGATCGTTTTTCTTAAGAAGTGTGCTGTAGTAAGTCTCTTATTTACCTGATAAAAGTACAAATTATCTGCTATTTAATGTTGGCTAACGCGTGGAAGGCTGGGGGTATCATTGCTGTGGCCAAATTTAAAATCCCAGATTACATCTATGAGAAGGTGATGTTTTGATATTCGGACTGTTCATGTATGGGGAGATATTTGTGTCGAATATTTTTTTTGACTTAATATTTTGTGTGTGTTTTTTTAAGGTGTTGATCAGTGTATCCAGAAATTTCTGGATATTGCAAGACAAACAGAATGTTTTTTTCTACAAAAAAGATTGCAGTTATCTGTCCAGAAGCCAGAGCAGGTTATCAAAGAGGTATGACCTCCGTTATCTCCTCACCTTTCGAAAGAGCACACGTTGTCAGGGTTCCGTCTCTGCTTTAAATGAAATCCCTTTTCCATTAGCTATGGTAGGTCTTTATAGATTGAGTACAAATGTTGCTCGTTGTCAGTGTTCGTGACAACCTGGACAAGTAGTGGAGGAAAGGGGGTGGGGGAATCAGGGCTTCAAACAGCATTTTCATATGCTGGCTGTCATGGAAGGTGTTTCTTAAAGGAAAGGTACTGCTGCTTGAAAAAGGTCGGAAAGCCAGTCATGGGACTCACTTCGGACAGGAGGTGTGATCTGTGCAGCCCCAGGTGCCCATATACAGGAAGGGCTTCGCCCGGCTTTGTCCAAGGAACCCCAAATCAGTGTTCCGGCCCAGGCTCCTCCAAGCTCAGGACTTCATTGTCTCAGTCGTGTGAAGCGGGGCATTTGAAGTGTGTTGGGGTGGCCAGGATGACTGGAGAGCTGCAGTGGCATGTCGTGTGCTGGGCCAGGACCTGCCCCCTGCAGTGGGGAAGAGGGAAGACTCGTCCGCCCAGACGGCCAGTGGTGCCTCTAATGCGAAACACTCAATTGAGATGAACGTTTTGTGGGCAGGGTTTGAGTAACTACTTCCACAAGCTGACGAATTAAAGTGTTTTTATTCAATGATATCCCTGTTGAGAAGGTGAATGGTGAGGGGATACTCTCATAGTTCATTACATCAGATCAGTTCCTGATTTGAATACTTCAGTAGTAACATAGGGGTGTTCAATAGTAATTGAATAGGTGTAAGTAACAGTTTCCTGTTACTAGCTTTATCTCTTGATAAAGAATTACAATGCTAGTATTCACTAAAAAAACTCCTGAAAATGAGACCTTAACACTTCCTAATATGAAATGTTAGAATAGCGATTGTGGATTCTTTTAAACAGTTGTTCCTATGTGTTTCAGATTCTCACTGTCTTTCAGGTTCTCAGCAGTAGCCTTTGGACAGAGATATTGAATGCCTGGGACCAGGGTGGGGAAGAGACTGGTTTCTTTTGGCTGCTCTTTGATACTTTGGAATATTATAACTTGGGAATTACTTATTAAAAGAAAATGGATTAAGAATAAAAACTCTCCATGTTAGGCAGACATTTGCCATTGGAAGAGTTGCTTTGGGTTATTCAAATAGTGGAGCCAAGCAGAGTCATGATTGGGCGTGGTGTGGTTTAATAGATTTTCTTTGTTTTGAATTTACTTCTTAGTGCTCTTAATTATGCAGGGACTGCATTTGCTTCTCACGAGGTTGCTCTGACTTCGTCACCTTCACTTGCAGGATGTCTCGGAACTGCGGAACGAGCTGCAGCGGAAAGACGCCCTGGTCCAGAAGCACCTGACCAAGCTGCGGCATTGGCAGCAGGTGCTGGAGGACATCAACGGGCAGCACAAGAAGCCCGCCGACATCCCGCAGGGCTCCCTGGCCTACCTCGAGCAGGCGTCGGCCAACATCCCCGCGCCTCTGAAGCAGAACTGAGGAAAAGCCGCAGGAAAGGGCGCTTCTCAGCGGCATGGCATTTTGGAAGAACTCCGCCAGAGAGTGGGGCGGTCTCCGCTGCACGCTCCCGCCTAAAACGCTCCCGTTTTTGTAAGCTCTTACCTTATTACTACTTTATAGAACGCGCATGGCTTTGGTAAACCAAGTACATGTTCGTGTTCCGGACAAAACGCAGACTGTTGGTGCGACGCCCACCGCTAACGTTCCTTTCTGTTTCTTTTCCTGCGTGTTTTATTTTTTAAATGTTCGTGTGACTTAATCTGTTTGCATTTTCAGTTTTAGATTAGTTTGTATCATGAGGGAAAAGCTGGTCTGGTCTGTGAATCAGAGGATGAGGATTTGGGTTGCAGGCCTTTTATCTTAATTAACCCCCAGTGGCAGTAGGCACAGATGTGTAAATTTGCCACCTTTCCAGACTGTGAACTACCTCAAGAAGAGGAATCTAATACAGCAATGTTTGTAACGCGTCCAGAGCTCTCAGAATGGGATCTTTCGTAAATACTCGGAAGAGGATTGTCATAGCCTAGGTTAGTGCAGTGATATTACAGTAGGATCCTTAAGTTGATGTTGACTTTTATTTGTGGTAAGTTTATATTTTGTGTGATGCCTGCTTACTTTTTGGGGTTGGGAGGCTGCAGGAGGAGCAGTGATGCGTAAATTTTGTCACATTGTGCAGTGAAGCATCAGTCTGAATAGCAGACCCCCTGGGGCAGAGGTGAAGTGTGAGGGTTAGTCTCCCTTTGTTTTGAGTTTTGTTTGCTTGTGTTGTTTGTGTCTTGCTTTTGTGGAGCAGAAATCTCCCATAAGGAAGGTTCTTGCTGATGGGTGGTGGTGATAACAGGGGACAGGGCCTGGGTGGGGGGGGGGAGGGGGGAGCGGCCTGCAGGGTGACCCTCGGTGACTTCCTCTCCACAAAGAGCATGTGGAGCCTCAGCATTTGGGAAGGTGCTTTACCCTCTCGGTGGTCACACGGGCCAACACGATTCTTTATGGAGACGCTGCTGCTGAGAAACACCCCGAGGGCTGTGTCTGGCTGTCTCTGAACTAGGCTCTCCTGTCTTGGTTGTTCAGTCTCTGGCTAGATTACATCCCCTTACCCCCAACAAGCACCACTATCTCCTGAACAGGCAGTGCCTCTGGGGCTCGGTATCTTGACTTGTTTTGTTTTCTCCAGCCTTGAAGGCCCCTCCCCTTAAGCACTGACATCTGCTTGTCGTGCTGGATGCTCCCTGAAGCCTCCAAATGCCCTCCCTGCTGCCGCCGCCCCCCCCCCCCCCCCCCCCCCAGGAAACAGCACTTCCTGTCTCCCATCAGTCTTGCTTGGTGCTCCCTCGAGGGTTAGTAATTTGTATGTGTCTCTGTGCCCCTCGTGAGAATTAGGCATTATTTTCCTCTGAACATGCAGAGATCATGTATTATCTCTTCTACATAGTACTTGCTACCCGTTGTTGTTTGTGCATGTGTGGTATACAGCCTGAGGCCACGTAGTCCCCTCACTGAACATGTGTGAGTTAAACAAAACTTTAAACGAATTTTTTTTCTCAGATAACATGACTTCAGGGTTGTTAACCTGGCCAGCTCATGCTGATTAGAAGCGCTGATTAGCAGCTTTGGATTTCTTCATTAAAAAACAAATTAAACATTTAGGCATCTTTCAGTAATAAAGCGGTTCTTGGTGACAAGTTCAGGAACTGTCCTCCTTGGTGCTTAGTGAAAAGACTTTGAATTAATGTATGTATCAGTTATTGCCATTTTTTATTAAATTCAAAAAGTTTCTAGCAAATAAATAATTTTTCAATTTTTTCTGTTTGTAAATATCATTTTCCTTTTAATGGCATCTTGCTGGTTGGTTGATGAACATAGAAATCCCTCCTTCAATGAGAAATAAGCCATCAGCTGGGAGTTCCCTTGTCTCCTCATTCCCATGATGATAGAAGCATGCAAAAATTTAGTTAACACACATGTAATGATTGGGTAGGATCTAGAAATTTAACAAATCTTTTTCACTCACCTGCAACAAGAAAGGAGTCCAAACAAATGCAGAGTGTTGAGTACAATCCTGTCCCTGCAGCAGGTGTTACGCCGAGGTATGGGACAGCAGAATGAAGGGAAGCCTGCTTTGCTAGTCATCAGGAGCTGCAGGGTGGGAAAAGGTTGCAGTCAACAAAAGTAGAATTGTGTGCAGTCTTTAAAACAAGATACAAAGTCTTACAATGCTCACTCTGAGCAGGAAGCAAAAGACAACAATATATTGATACTGAAAAATAATACGGTACGTTACAGGTATGGTAAGTATTTGCAGTTAAAAAATTATCTTATTGGGGCCATGTGTTTTGATTAGGTAGTCAATTTACCTTTAAATTAGGAGTTTTGAGATGTAATGCATTTCTCTCAAAAGGACATAAGTATGTAAGAGGCCACTTTTTATTTGAAGATGATCCGATTGAGGTCATTGTGAACTTTCCATTTCTAAGTACAGTCTTCATCAAATTTCACCCTTCTTTTGGAAAATCAATACAAGTCATAACCATTTTTATCGCCCAGTTGTTTAAAGTTTTATTCAAAGAGCAAAGATTTGACAGTGCCTAGAATAAACAACTGTTCATGGGCCACCTTGCTGGGCCAGCACCAGAGGACAATACATTTTGCCCATTAAAAGATGTATTAAGTTTTGTCAAATCACACTGCTCCTTCAGAGGGTCCGACAGTTCAGTGTGGGCTGAGCAGGTCAGCACCGTGGATGGCCACTACCTGTCCCCTTTAACCTACCAAGCATCCATGCAACGGGGGTGCAATGCATCATGAGGCAAATGGCCCAAACCCAGAGACCAGAGGTTCAGTAGATATTTGACTTGAAAGAACAGATAATCTAGAAACCTTCACAAATGGCCAATTGGCATTGCAGATTGAAACGGGGGTATGACGGGGCGGGGCTCAGTTATTCACAAATCCTGGCAGTGCTTAATTCGAATTCGTGATTGGGATCATTGCCATATTATGTTGCTTAATCCTCATAAAGGCCCCTTCTGAGGTAGGTGTTATCCCCTCTATTAGCTACTTCACGTCCAGAATTAGGAAATCCAAGTGTCAAGGTCTGTGGCTGTTCAGTCCTAGTAGCTTCGATTTGCTTGTTTTGTGTTTTAATTGGCTTTCCTGGTTGTTCGGAACTTTGTTTTATTCCCCTTCTTAATGAGGTTCGCTGTGCATCTTAAATTACATCACTTACATAGGAACACTTTTCAAGTGGATTTGAGTTGCATCCTCGAAAATGAAATCCCTTTCAAAGCAGGCCGCGGAAACCACAAAGCGGAGCGCAAGCTATGGACACGAAATACTACAGGCAGGCCGTCAGTAACATTCACATTTTCCGATGATGTTTTCGGGTAACACGGGCTCCTTTTACCCTGACGCCAAGGGTTTTTAATGAGCCGGTGCCACAATGAACAGTATGAAATGTCAGTGCCAAGATTTGTTTAGCTATTGGATGCAAATCATATTACAAAGCAGGTTATTTGGTTGATTGATTTTTTAGTTCATTCCCTCAGATGTTTTAAAAGAAATTTTTTTTCAAATGTCCTTTCTGTGATGGGTCCCAAGGATCACTTTAGAAAGAAAAGTACTTGGTGAACCATTCCTGGTGGGCAGAGCCCTGTTTCTGCTGGACTTCTTTGGGTTGGGCTGTTTCACCATCTTGTGTCCTAAACAAAAAACAACAACAAAAAGGATTAGATGGTTTTGCAGTTTTGAAAATTACTCAGAAAACATCTTAAAACCCCACCATCTTTTCAGGGGACGATAACTGCTTCCTTGCTCTTCAAAAAGTGCTGGAACGTGACTGGCCAACATTAGCATCTGGAAACCAGCTGTGAAGGGAATGTCTAATTCAGATTTGAAGACCAAAGGTTCTCCATTATTTCACTTAAGATCATGAGGCATATTTGCAACATTTATTCCAGGCACAAATCTACATATATAAAACCCTAATATGCAAATAGATTGAACAGCGGAACAACCGAACAATCAAACAACTGAACAACCAGTCGCTATGATGTGTGCTGACCACCGGGGGCGCGCACAGAACATGGTGGGCGTCAGCAGCAGGCAGCAGAGCACGGAACATGGCGGGCATTGGCTGTGGCATGATGGTGGAGCAGGTGACCGGGAGTGCCAGACTAAGGCAGAGCACCGGTCGCTGTCATCGGAGTGAGCCTCTGGTGGTTACTGAAAATTCTTTGCTTCCACGTGCCATGGTCCCACCCAGTGCTCGCACCCACAGCCAGCACTGAAGCTGCCACTCATACCCACTTGCCGGCGCCCTGCACCGATCCCGATCACTCAGCACCATCAGCAGGTGCAAGCGGCGCCTACCTGCCCCAATTGCCCCTGAGGGCTTCTCCACCTCCCCCTGCTCCTGAGGGATGATTGGGGTCAGTAGCCGCCGCTCACACCCTCTAACAGCGCTGGTCTGCTCGCACCCACTGCTGGCATCAGCCCCAATGGCTCTGCACCGTCAGCGGGTGCAAGGGGGGCCAGCACTGTCAGCATGTGGGAGCGGTGGCAGCAGGAGCAGGGCTGCCGGCAGACGGGACTGGGGACTGCGGTGCAGGAGGGGCCAGACGGGGGTGTGGAGGATGGGCCGAGACCCACCCCTGTGCCCACTGCAGCCTCGCAGCCCATAGTTCCTTTCAAGGTGCACGAATTCGTGCACTGGGCCCCTAGTTAATAAATAACACCCCTCCCCCCCACCACCACCAAAATAAAAGGGTAAAAGAGGAGCATTTGAGATATTGCTCCCTAGCATATGTTGTCAGTTTGGTTCAAATAAACCATAAAAATTCTCTAAAGGAACAAAAGAAAAAGAAGAAAGAAATGGTTGATCAACACAGCATTATAATTTATGGCTTCTTTAAAAGTTATCTACTGTGTTCCAGCATCACAATGAGGCTGTGAAATTAGCCTCATAAATTGAAAAGGGGGAATAGTTAGCAAGCAAGTATGGTGTACACTGGATGAATGGTCTCTATCTGCAATTTTGGCGCTTCATATACAGCAACTAGAGCCCTGGTGCACAAATTTGTGCACATTGAAAGGAAATTAATTAGAAGAAATATTTTAATATTGCTATTCGCCCTTTCTCTATAATAGATATGTCAACCAAATTCACGATCGACAATGACAGATGGAAATGCATGTGATTGGCGCCGATATATATATATTGAGAGAGAGAGAGAGAGAGAGAGAGAGAGAGAAACTTGCTTAATTAGACCTGCTTTCTGGTTTAGCTAAACTCTTTCCAGCCCAGGGAAGCACCCCAACTTCTCTTTCAGGTAATTATCAGCAACACAGCAGTAAATATCAACATGAAACAGATTATTATTGTAGATCAAGCAGGGAGAAAAAAGGATGAAATATTTAACTGCAGCAGTGTTTGACTATATTCTGCGCAGTGAGAAAACTTTAAGTTATTTTCAAGGTCCACCATTTCTTATTTCTTTTCAGTCCGGTCAAGTTTCTAAGCTTTCTAAATCTCTGTTTTCCAGCTAATGAAAAGAAAATAGGATTCCACCAAGTCTCCTATCTACCTGCTCCAGGAGTTCTGTGAGGATCAAATGAGATGAGGCACAGGAAAACGCTTCACAGACATTTGGTTAAAGTGTAAAATGTTTGCACCTGGCTATAAAGCACGTCATGTTCCTGGGCTGAAGAAACGCCAAGGAGGCTAGTCACTAGGGAGAAGAAGCCGGGCGCTATGTGACGTCATTACCCAGTGCCCACAGCGACTGTTCCCTGGCTGGGCTGGGCTGTGGGCTGCATTATGCGCCCTGGGGTCTCGGCAGCATCAGCTGCGATTTGGTGGGCTGTCCCTCTGGGGTGTGGCGGGGCCTGTGTCCCACTTGGGAGAAGCTAAGTGCTGCTTTGTGGGCGCCAGGTCCGCGGCGCCGTTTCTCTGTAAATGGCCAGTATGAGTCATGGCAGCTCTTGCATTGAGTGTCTTCCTCCTGGTGGTCAGTGCATGTCATAGCGACCAGTTGGACGGTCGGACACTTAACACATTAGCTTTTTATATATATGTAGATGGGAAGATAGCCTTAAACACAGGTATACAAGTATGAGATGAACCCGGGAGGTGGCTCTAGCAGTTAATACAGGGATGTGCTGGGGGCTCCAGGCCTCAGGTTCCCTAGCTGTGAAACAAAGGGCTGGCCTCATTCAACGACTGACCACCTGGAGGTCCTTGCAGGCCAACACTCATCGAGATGCATGCCGCCCCATTTGCCCAAACAGCCGTGGGCAGGCAGGGCCTTAGGAAAAGGAACATTTTAGGAGTGGCCCTTTCTGAAATGCAAACTTCAAAGCCCAGAATTAAAAATTTTGCCTCTGAATGGATTCAATGCCTCATCTATGAAAAAAAAAGGGGTGTGTATATGTGTGTGTCGGGGGTGGGGGTCCTGGAATGTGGTACCAGAAATAGTCCCTCTTCTAAAGAATGGCACATTCTCTGCCTTACACAGTCTTGCCGGGACTGCCATTTTCCCAGGCAGGCCTTGACCTGCTGCTCTTTGTATCTGTCCCAGTGCCGGGTACTGCACAGGTGCCAGGACAGAATTCCAGTTTTCCTCCTATTCCGGGAAAACGGGATCACAGCGCCTGCCCCTACCTGGTGGCCGCTTTCACGTCTAGAGACTGGGTGGGCTTGTAAGGCCGACCAGGCCCGGGGCTTGGGTCCAAGCTGGGGGACTTAGTGATTGGCGGGGCGTTGATCCGGGAGCTCAGGTCACCGCTCAGAAAGTTCTTTGCGTAGGAGGCGAGGTTGGGCACGCTGACCACTCGGCTGGGCACGTCCTCCATCTTCTTTTTCTGTTTGTGTTAAAGGACAGGCCTCTTAGCGTCGCCCCAAAGAGGTGTTATTGTAAGAGTCAATAAGACCCACCCAACCAAAACAGTGCCCGTGAGGAGGCAGTGCTTTTATTTACGTACTTCCATATTATTTTTCAAAGCATTTTCCCCTCTAACCTATTTTGTGTTTTAAAAAAACACATGTCTGCCGAAACCGGTTTGGCTCAGTGGATAGAGCGTCGGCCTGCGGACTGAGAGGTCCCAGGTTCGATTCCGGTCAAGGGCATGTACCTGGGTTGCGGGCACATCCCCAGTGGGAGATGTGCAGGAGGCAGCTGATCGATGTTTCTCTCTCATCAATGTTTCTAACTCTATCTCTCTCCCTTCTTCTCTGTAAAAAATCAATAAAATATATTTAAAAAAAAAAACAAAAAAACAAAAAACACACATGTCCACCCACAGTCTCTTCTCTGAAATTCCTGGGGACAGATGTGTTTTGTAATTCAAAGACCTTTGTTTAGATTTTAAAAGGCCACACAACACCCCCCAGCAGGGGCTGGACCCATCTTGTCCTCAAATGCATGACTATTTCTGAAGTGAAACTTACATTTTGTCACAGTAAGAAGGATATGTAAAAATCATAAGTGATCTTATCTCAGGTCAGCTGATACTAGATTTATTGTTCTGTGAGCCATTAAAAAATACTACTTTTTTTGAGCTTTTAGGATTTGTGATAGCAAATGAGAGATTTGGTGAATATTTTTATTGTAACAAATTCCATAAGTATATAAGGAAAAAAATGTTAAGAAGTGGAAGATTCCTGCTCTTCCTACCACCAATTACTGTTAGAGCCACTATTAATAGTGACACATTTATTTACAGAAAATTTGGAAAAGACAAAAAAAAAACAACCCATAAAAAATAAAAATACACATCATCTTCCTAGCCAGACATAAACACTGTTTAAGCATTTGGGTTATTTTCTGTGGGTCCTAGTGAGTCTTCTTTTGACCGTCTCCCAGCCATTGGTAAATACGCTGCAGGTGCCTTGGGAAAATGAAACCAGCAGATTGTGCAATGCACCCGAACCAGCAGAACCGACCTACCTTCATGGAAGGGGTCAAATACCCTGGGTGAGGGTTGAAAGAGAAGGACCGATTCCGGTGGGACATTGCGCTGGGGAACGCTGCGTAGTGAAATCTCCTCTCCTCCTGGAAAAAACAGCACGACTGCGTCTAAATGAGCCTAACCACAGGGCCCTGGGCGGCTGTGTGAGGGTGGAAGACAGAGAGAAGGAAAGTCCTGGGGAGGGGAGGGAAGCCAGGCGAAAGAGATGCCATCCAGGGAGCTGTGAGGAAGCGCCTTTACTCCTGGGGTCTCTGTGTCCCGGCCCCTCTTGTAAAGCAATGGGCCAGCTTATTTGGAATGCCTTAGGGAAGTTAGAGACGCAAGTGCTATCAGCACCTGAGAAGAGCACTGCAGGAAGTTAACAATTAAAGTGCAGAAAGTCAATAAGGAGGCAAAGCAAGCAGGCCCCCTGGTACAACCTCTGTCTGGCTAATGTTGTTAATGTGTGCCACTTTTTCTTTCCATCTGTATTATTTTTAAATAAATGGCTACGAGGCCGTGGTGGATGCCTGATACAGAAGCAGAGGGAGTCAAAGAAAGCTTTTCCCTTCAAGGGACCCAGGGGGTGGCTTTGCTAACTGGAAAACAGGTGGTCATTTTTACAGAAGATGGATATAGAGTAATTGGCTTGCTTGAATCTGCTGAAATTCAAACCTAAGGCGAGCCATTCTAGATCTTCCCAAATTCTGTTGGCTAATAAAAAAGAGTGATATCCGCCATGGGCAGATGCTGTGGGGCCTGGGAGCAGAGAGACTTTTTTGCCTTCTATTTTCCTGTGTTAATTTTTTTTTAGTGAGTATGAATTCTTTTGTAGAAAAATAACCAAGGATCTTTTGTAAGGTGGTTTTATGGTTATCATCATTAACACTTGAGGTGCCCAGTGAAATGCCAGGTGCAGGGGAATGCCCCTTCCCTCCCCCCTCTTCCCCGAGGAACTCTCAGGCACCCGCGCAGGGCCCCCTGGTAGCCAACAGCCTCACCGTGAGCTGCTTGATGATCTCCTCTCTCTCCTTCAAGCGGGTCTGCAGGCGGCCTATGAGCTGCACGTCCTCCGGCCTGGACTTCTCTCCGGAATCCTTCAGTCTGTTCCAAGCAGACATGCAGTTAGCCCCTCACTGCGACTACTCAGCCACGAGCAGGGGGAAAGGTGATGACGTGGTAGGGACGCCACTGGTGGTCAGCCTGGCCAGAAACTCTCTCTGTGCACAGGAGGGGAAACTGAGGCCCAGAGAGCTTACCCAAGATCACCCAGTGAGCTGGCTACAGAGCTCGGGGTGAAGCCCAGGACCCCAACTCCCAGTGTGACCTTTGTGAGTCCCCCCCAGGGCTGCAGGGCCCAGGAACCAATGGTGAATGTATGCACACAGATGCTGCACACAGTGGGGCTTCAAGAACCAGGGATGCTTGGGAGAGGAGGCCTCAGCAGGAAAGGGCCCCCACCTGGCAATGCCCAAGGCTCTGCTAATACCGACGTGGCTCTGGCGCCATCTGCTGGCCGACAGGGAGTGTGGCATGTGCAGAGCAGTGAGGGCAGCTGGTACCCATAACTCTTTCAGCCTGAAGCTGAGAAAGAACTCTCTGGATGGTGGGGAGAGGGAGGGTTAGGGCTGCAGATGACCCATTGCATATGGTTGATAAGAGGCTAGGTACAGCGGTTCTCAACCTGTGGGTCGCGACCCCTTTGGCGGTCGAACGACCCTTTCACAGCGGTCGCCTAAGACCATCCTGCATATCAGATATTTACATTACAATTCATAACAGTAGCAACATTACAGTTATGAAGTAGCAACGAAAATAATTTTATGGTTGGGTCACAACATGAGGAACTGTATTTAAAGGGCCAGAAGGTTGAGAACCACTGGGCTAGGACTTTGGGGTGAGGTGAGTTGGGCTCTAATCCCAGCTCTGTTTTTTTTCCAGCTGTGAACTTGGGTATGCATTTCACCTGAGCCTCAGTTGTTCCTTTAAAATGGGCGTGACATCGGGTGGTTGCTAGGATTCAATGAATGACTGGCACGTGGTAAGTACCCATTAGAGCGGAAATTCTGTTTCTTTGTTATGGGGTGGGGCCACAACATTAGTAACAAAGAAACAGAATTTCTGGAGGATGAGGCCCAGAAATCAGGATTTTAAAAAGATTCCCAGGTGGTTCTAATGTGCAGCCAAGGTTGAGAACCACTGTCTTAGAGAGAAGATGGTAAAAGCTTCCGCTCCAGATTTCGGATGATCTGCTTTGTACTACAGACAGTGGAGGACAGTTTTTAAGAGGGCAAGCCAGGGCCCAGGCAGGGGACATTTAAATTCACTTGGTGCTGCTGGACCTGGTCTCCCTGATGCTAGTACCCAGTCCTCCAGTCTCTTAGCAGCCACAGAAAGTAAGTCAGACGATGTTACTTCTGCCTAGAGCCTTGCCATGGCTTCCCAGTGTGTTCTGAATACAGTGGGGACTTGACTTACCAGTGTCCTGACTAACGAGTTTTTTGAGATACCAGCTGTCTCTCAGCAGATTTTTTGCATTGAGTTGACAGAGTAATTTGAGTTAACGAGCTCCTTAACGAGCTCGGTCTCAGAACGAATTAAACTCGTAAGTCAAGGCCCCACTGTATATCCAATCTCCTCCCTGCTCACTGTAGCATTTCCTTCATCCCTTGGAGTTACTCCACCAACCTCAGGTTCTACCACTCACCCTCTCGCTCATTCCACGGAAGCCACAGGGCCTTCTGGTTGCTCAGGCTTATGAAGCAGACCCCGGGGCCTTTGCACTTGCTGTTCTGTCTGCCTGAAATGCTCGTTCTCCAGATGCCTCTCTCATTCCCTCGCCCCCCTGTGCGTAGATGTCACCTCCTTAAAGAGGCCTCGTTGCCCACTCTTGCCACTCTCTAGAAACTGATGCTATTTTTTCCCCAGCACTTTCACTACCGATATGAAGTTAAATATTTGTTTATTTCTTGTTAGCATCCCCATCATTTGTGAGTTCTATGAGAACAGTTTTTGTTTTGTTCCCTCCATAATCCAGAGCCTAAAACAGTAAGCCCTGACTAAACATTTGTTGAATGAATACATTAATGCCTTTTGTATTATCCATAATAATAAAAGCATAATATGCTAATTAGACCAGACAGCCGAACAATCTTCTGGACGTCATTCCAGACACCCTTCCGGACAAAGCTATGGCGGCGGGGGTTGAGGCAGAGGTGGTTAGGGGTGATCAGGCAGGGAGGCAGGTGAGTGCTTAGGGGAGATCAAGCAGGCAGGCAGAGGTGATTGGGGCGATCAGACAGGCAGGCAGAGTGGTTAGAGGTGATCAGGCAGGCAGAGTGGTTAGGGACAATCAGACAGGCAAGCGAGTGGTTAGGGGCAATTAAGCAGGCAGGCAGGCAAGTGGTTAGGGGTGATCAGGCAGGCAGGCAGTGTGGTTAGGGAAGATCAGGCAGGCAGGTGAGTGGTTAGGGGAGGTCAAGCAGGCAGACAGAGGTGGTTGGGGCGATCAGGCAGGCAAGCAGTTAGGGGTGATCAGGCAGGCAAGTGGCTAGGGGCAATCAGGCAGGCAAGCGAGTAGTTAGGACAGGGGTGGGCAAACTTTTTGACTCGAGGGCCACAATGGGTTCTTAAACTGGACCGGAGGGCCAGAACAAAAGCATGGATGGAGTGTTTGTGTGAACTAATATAAATTCAAAGTAAACATCATTACATAAAAGGGTACGGTCTTTTTTTTTTTTTTTTTTAGTTTTATTCATTTCAAACGGGCTGGATCCGGCCCGCGGGCCGCAGTATGCCCATGGCTGGGTTAGGAGCAACCAGGCAGGCAGGCAGGTGAGCGGTTAGGAGCCAGTTGCGAGAGGGCTGTCGGACATCCCCCAAGGGGTCCTGGATTGTGAGAGGGTGCAGGCCGGGCTGGGGGACCCCCAACCCATGCACAAATTTTGTGCACTGGGTCTCTAGTCTCTCTATATAAAAGCCTAAGCAACCCTTACAAACTGGTCAACTGGAACAACCGTAATGACTGGAACGACCAGAATGACTGGTCACTATGACATGCACTGACCACCAGGGGGCAGATGCTCAATGCAGGAGCTGCCCCTGGTGGTCACTGTGCTCCCAGAGTGCTACTGAGCGGCGGCGGCAGGTGCAGCGGGGCCAGGATGAGCGGGAGTGGTGGGGCACCTGGCCCCGGCTCGGGCTCCTCCCCAGCCGCCTGCCGCTTTGGCATTGGTACATCCCTCGGGGGATGTCGGGCTGCTGGTTTCAGCCCGATCCCCAGTAGTCTGACATCCCCTGAGGGGTCCCAGATTGTGAGAGGCTGCAGGCTAGGCTGAAGGATCCCACCCATGCACGAGTTCATGCACCAGGCCTCTAGTCTGTCCATAGGAATAATAATTTCCACCTTGCAGGACTGTGTTGGAAGAGGGCCAATGCTAATAAGAAAGGTAGCCTTGATCCTTCTGCTTTCTTCCCAGTGTGAGGGCCAAACCAAGCCCATGAGGCAGTCTTACTCCTCACAGATTCCCAGGGCCCTGCACGAAGGGGGACTGCAGTGTCATAACGTGACAGGTGACCAACCATCCCAGTTCCTCCGGGGCTGAGGTACTTCCTGGGACTCAGGGTTTCCAGTTTTAAACTGGGAGAGTCCCCTCATAAATGGCACCTCGACTCTTTCCCCCCTCACTTACTCGGTTTCCAGGGCAGCCAGCTGGGCCTGAAGCCGGGCTTGAACGCTGCTGAAGTCGGCCACCATAGCCTGCATCTCCTGCCGATGTTCCTGGCGTAGCATCTCCACCTCCCGGGCCTGCTGGGCTTGCTGGTCCTCCTCCAGCTGCCTGCAGTGGATGGAAGCACAACTGGGCTGACCCAGCTCTAGGGACCCCCCTTTTGGGCGCTGGGGTTTTCTCCCCCTTCTGCTGGGTGGCCAGGTTTGGAGACGATGGGTCCAGGTAGGTTATGCATCTGAGGTCAGGACACCGTGGGAAGGAAGCCTGGGGTGTGTGAAGTGTGGGGTCCAGGATAAGCCCCTTCTCTCTTGTGGAGCCCCTTCTCAGCACTCCCACCCCAGCATTCCATGAGGGAGAAACCTCCTCATTCCATGAAGAACAGCCTACAGGGGGCAGGAGTAGGAGGCAGCTCTGGAGGGGAGCCCTGGGAAGCATTTTCTCCACTCGGGGCAGGTGGGGAGGCCTGGATGCAGAGATTCTGTATCAGAATTACTGAGAGTTGGACTCTGAGACCTCGGAGATCCCCAGTCCAGGTGGAAAGGCAGGGTGGGTGGGGTCAGGAGAGCAGCGTGTAGAGCCGGGTGCCATGTCTGTCTGCCGCCTCCTCCATCATTTCCTAGCTGTGTGACCTTGGGCAAGGTATGCCCGGCTCAGTGTCTTCATCTGTTAAGTGGAGGTGACGACTGTGGCTACCTACAGGGCCAGTGCAAGAATGACCCTGTCCATACATGTCCAGAACAGTCTGTAGTCCAAAGCAGGTGTCCAGGCATCAGCCATCACTTTGCTTTAACCTAGGTGTGGGGCCCCTAAGGGGCCTACAGACAAGCCTCAGGGGTGTGTCTCCCTCAGAAAGTAGGTGCATATTTTTGTGTGATACATTCTTCTCCCATGGGAGGGACCATTGTTTTCTGAACTGGAAGGGGCCATCCCCCAAAATGGTGAGGAGTCCTTACCCTGCTCCCACCTCCTTTTCCAGTGTCACGTGGTGAGTCCTTAACTGAAATCGAGGTGTCTCACCTTAGCCAGGTGGGCCCATATCTGTTCTTAGATGAGCATTTCACTGGCACAACTACTTTCACTTGAACAACTGAGATACAATCCTTGGAAAATATGAACTGACAAACCTCCCTCAAGAAGAAACAGATAGCCTGAAAAGTCCTATAGCTATTAACGAAGTTAAAATTGAACTCATGAACTTTCCAAGAAGTGGGGGAGAGGGGAGGGCTGTGAATTCAGGACTGATAATGAGCTATCCAATCTGGACTAGGTAATGGTAATGCCACAGGTTACCGAGTGCTCCCCCAGGCCAGGGGCCTCTCACATACAGTGCCCTGCCGTCTGCAGCAGCCCTGCGAGGTGGTGCCATCTCCACTACAGAAGAGGACAGTCTTGGAGAGGTTAGCTGACTCGCCCAAACACAGCTAGTTAAGGGCACACAGCACTGTCTGCCTAAGGCTGGTTTTGAGGATACCTGTGGTATCGTTAGGTCTGATTCCATAAATTCCCTGATTTATAGAGAAACTGAGTTCCTGCCTCTATTTCAGGGCTAATCCCTGCATCAAGGGAGTAATGTCAGTGAAGTGCTAGCGGATTAGGGAGTATTTTCTTTGGGAAGGTGCTCTGGGGGGAATCCCAGGCTCCCCAAGCGGCAGTGGAGGGAGGGAAGGGAGTGAGAGAAGCCCTGAGGCCCGCAGACAGACCTGTGCTGGTCACGGAGCTGCAGCGCCTCCTGCTGGTGCTGTTCCACCTCGGCCTGCAGCTGCCGCACCGTGTCCTTGAGCTGGGAGTTCTCCCAGAGGAGGCCACCCTCGCTGGGAGTCTGCTCAGCGGTGCCCTTCGGGGAGCCTGTGGGGCCTGGGCCGCCCCCACCCTGGGGAGAAGGTAGCCAGGAGAGATGTTTTCAGGAGGCGCAAAGGCGGACATGGCCCAGATGTGCTCCTCCCAGCCTCCAGCCTCCACAGCAGTAGGGCGCCACTGAGGGCGACATACAAATGCACTTTATGAATGCCTGAAGCAGGACTGGGGAGAGAGGTCTGGGCTCTTAGGAGGTCACTGTGCTTCCCAGCTCGGTGGGAATCATGGATGTGCAAGCAGGGGCCAAGGGGCCAATGGGCCATGTCTGACCAGGAAGCTCATGGAGAGTGGGCCCTGAGCTGGGGTGACAAGGCTGCTTCCACCATGGGAACAGGGAGGTCTAGACGGGGAGAGGAGCTCAGAGACATCCCCCTGCAGACCTGAACAGTGAGTGGGGGTTGGGGGGGTGGGCACGGACTGGCCATCTTTAAGCTCTGCCTGGTACCAGCACCCTGAGAGGCTGCTGTGTCTGAATTAAAAACATGTAGAACTTGAAACCTGTGTTTTGCTTTACGAAGAGGGGAGTCTGCAGGCTCGCCAGGGACCCCCTAGCAGGAGGAGACGGGTCCTCCCCATTTCAGACAAGTACGCGGGCCTCTCCTTTGGGAGTTTGCAGTAGCCTTCACTCCTTGGAGAGGGGTGGGGTGGGTGGGCCAGGGCGCTGACCTCGGTGGTGTTGGCGTGGCCCTCGCTGTCCCCTGCACACGGGGTGATGGGCTGCCGCCTGTCAGAGCTGCCCAGAGCCTTCAGCTCAGCCTGCAACGCCTCCAAGTCCTTCTGGTGCTCAGAGCAGGCGGCCTTCTGCTCCCACAGCTCCTGCCTCAGGGACTCTGCCAAGGAAGAGCAGCGAAGGTCAGGTGTGTGCAGCGAAGGTCAGTGAAGGGTAGGCGCACTCAGCAAAGGTCAGGCGCACGGGGAGGCTGACGTCTGTCCTGGGGTAGGCGCTGCTGAAGGCTTTGGGTCAAGTTCTCCAAACTTATTTCAAGATGACAGTAACAAGAGTTCCATCTGCGGTGCTAAACCCGGGCAAACTGTTCACAGAAGCCCTACAACCATCCTATCAGTACTACCCCTCTCCTTTTCATGGTGTGGAACCCGGGCCTCAGAGAGGTTGAGCGAGGAGCCCAGAGCCACACAGCTAGGAAGTTGTGGAGTCAGGATTCCACGAGTCCAGTGGTTCTTCCTCCCTCTGCACCACCTTGGAGACACTGCCAGGTGTTAGGAAGGTGGCGGGTTCGGGTGGGACAGCCTGAACCAGCGCTGAACCCTGAGGCAACACTGGGCCTCAGCCCCAAGTCCACAGACCGAGAGGAGAACAGGGAATTACCAATGACCAGGGCCTCTTCTGGGGTTGCAGGTCTCCAAGTCTGAAATTTTGACATTTATGCCAACCCTTAAGGGGAAAGGACATGGGTTCCCCTTCCCCTGGGTGTGAGGTCTTGGCTGGAATGTGGGGGCAGGAGCTGGCATGTTATCCCAACAGAACCAAGTAAAACCAGAATCATCCGAAGAAACAGACATGCCCTCCTCAACTCAGGGCAGGTACAGCCAGAAACTCCCATTTCTCCTGAGGGTGATGCTGATTTCCAGGGGTGCGCTGCCGTGATTGAAAGTCAAAGAAAGCAAGCCTTTCAAAATGACTATTTTCTGATAGAGCACACGCTACTCAGTGACCTATTTATTTTTTTAAAAAAGAAGATAATTTTTAAGGACTAGCATATTTAATGCTTTTCTATTATGGACTTTTGAGACTATATTTTAGTTATTGCAAATGACTTTTGAAATATTGTTCCAATAATTCCTTAAGCTATAAGATAAGCACCCGGCATGGGCCTCAGTACGTAGCAAGTGCTCAACATATATTTGTAGAATAAACAAATGATGTTTAGAGTGAAAATCAATGATATTGTGAAAATGTATTAGTTGTGAGAGGTTTCCCATATACCTACTAAGCTTCTCTCAAAGGTATAGTATATTAAACACATATAAGAGCTTAATATATTCTGATGACATTATGCTGAAAAACTTACTTGGTCATGTTTTCTCCCCAATAGAATTTTAATCAAGCAACTTCTCTAGCTTCTTTTCTTAAAAAAAAAAAAAAAAAAAAAAAAATCCAGACACTGCCCCATTTTTGCCATTATCACAAAATGGCAATAAAACCCTTTAGCAAAGCATGAACTGTAGTGTACTCACTACTCTCCCCTCTTCTCCCACCACTCACCCAACCATCCACTTATCCATCCATCTGTCCATCCATCCATCCATCTACAAACCCACCTATCCAACTATCTACCCACCTGTCCGTCCATCCATCCATCCATCCATCCATCCACAAACCCACTTATTCATCTATCTGCCCACCTGTCCATCCGTCTGTCCATCTATCCCCCACCCATCCATCTATAGATCCGCTCATCCATCCATCCACCCATCTATCCAGCATGTCTGGGTCCCCACCCCAGTGTATCACTCACCCTCTCAGCCCTCGCACACTGACCTACACTGCAGGTCAGGTGTGTCTCACACAGACAGTGAAGGCCTCAGCTCCCCAAACTTGCAGAAATCTTCAGAATGGAATGAGAGGTTGAGGCAATCCCAGAAAGTCCCGATATGTTCAATAATAATGATCATGATCATTCACTGGGCTCATGCTATGTGTTACGTGTTTTATATTTAATATCTCACCAAATCCACGTTACAACCCTATGAGGTAGGGCAATTGTAACTCCATTTTATGAAAAAGGAAGATGAGGCTGAGAGCGACCCACCCCAGGTCCCCAGGTCTCACAACTAGCTGCTGGCAGAGCCAGGAGAGTCGCCCTGGCCTGTGTGCCTCCTCCCCCTGCCCCCTTGTTGTCCCCCTCCCGCTGCCCGCCCCCCCCCCCCCCCCCCCGGCTTCCCACTGCCCCTGGCTCCCCATGCGGAGCCCTTAGGGGTGTGGCTGGTGTATACCTAGCAGCAGAGCCTGATGAGCCTGCATCCTCGCCTGCTCCCCCTGGACCTCTTGTTGGACCTTCTCCTCCACAGCCTGGCCCTCCACCCGGAGTGCCTGCTGCTGGATCTGGAGGCCGCGGCCGGATTCCTTTTCCAAGAGCTCTTCGGTGGCCTGTGGGGGAAAGTGGGAAGAAGGAAGCATGAAATTGGGCACAGCAGGGCAGACCTGTCCCCTCTGCCAAGTTCCTCCTCCGAGCTGGGACTGGTGGAGCACTCACCACTCCCTGGTCAGGGCTTACCAGTCTCCTCCCCGACCTGCCTGGGATGGCGGCGAAGGCCTGGCCACAGCAGCCATCCTGGACCATGTGAACCCAACCCTGGTCCACAGCTGACGGGACTAGAGGGCACCCCTGGTCCAAGCTGGACCGCTCACTGGGAATTGGGTGTTAGGAGGCAGGAAGAGAGAGAACAAGAGAAAGAAACAGACAGACACCGACTAGATGCCTTCAACATGAACATTCTCAGGAAAACAGCCCTTTCAGCACCTGATGTTAGTTAGGACTTCTGACCTCCAGAACCGTAGGGTAAGAGCTGCGTTGTGTTAAGCCACCAGTTTGTGGTCATTTGTTACAGCAGCAATTGGACACCAATAGAGTTTCTTTCTCTTTTTTTGGCAACAGAGAGTTCCAATCCATACATTTTGAAACGAGAAACTGAGGCTAGAAGAGATAAACCCGCGTTTCCAAGGTCGCACAGAAAAGATGCAGGAATCATCACCCCCTCCTCCTCTCCTTTTCTTTTTACAGAGGAGGACACGGGCTCAGCAAGGTGAAGTGACCTGCCTGACGACAGGGAGACAGGGGGTGGTGGAGCAGGACAGGGTGGAGGCAGGATGGCAGCCATGGGCTGCAGTGTCTACTCCCTCATGCAACCTCTGGGAACAGTGAGAAACGGGATTTCCACCTGAGGGGACAGAGCCTTCCTGGAGCCTGAGGCAGCTGACCGAATGCCGCAGCGCCTGGCCTTGCCGATCCCCAGCAAATGGGGAGACGCGGTCTTACTCCTCCCAGGGGAGGCTCAGTCCTCTGGGGTGAGTTTATTGAATAAGGCAGCAAAGGCTCCCACCATTCAAACTCTCTGATTGTTCCTCCTCTTACTGCAAGACTCACAGAACTCCATCCCCAGTGAAACAGGAACGGAGAGACGGAAGCAAAGCTTTGCAAAAGACCTTGTTGGAGAAGCTGATGGCGGCAGCTCGCTGGTGGAGTCCGTCTCTGGGTTGTGTGAGCCAGAGCTGGTCCATAGTTACTGGTGAAGCGGGAAGAAGCCTCCACAGAACAGGTGAGACCCCGGTGGGTGGTGCTCAGAGAGCACGGGGCACCCATGCAGGCGTGAGGGCTGGAAGGTGTGCTGTCATCAGAGACCCCCGGAAGGTGGTCATTGTGTTTGGGCCAGGACTTTGAGGTCACCATGAGGTCACCGAGGCAGAATATAACCTGATGTCCACACACCACTGCACAACTGCGCAGCAGAAGCCAGAAACAAAGCAAAACGTAGCTGCCAGAACCAGAAAGAGAAGCCTCCTTCCTCCTGAAAGGTGCCTCCAGCGCCCTCTCCTGGCAAAGCTTAACACTGTGCTCTTTGCAAAGGAGCAATGCTTCAAGAGTCCAGAGCAGCCGTGGGCAAACTACGGCCCACGGGCCGGATTCGGCCCGTTTGAAATGAATAAAACTAAAAAAAAAAAGAGACCGTACCCTTTTATGTAATGATGTTTACTTTGAATTTATATTAGTTCACACAAACACTCCATCCATGCTTTTGTTCCGGCCCTCCAGTCCAGTTTAAGAACCCATTGTGGCCCTCGAGTCAAAAAGTTTGCCCACCCCTGGTCCAGATCATGACCGCAGGACAGGCGCTGCAGCGTGAGCTGGGGTCTGGGAGGCAGTACACTGAGAACAGAAGGCAAGTCTAGTATTGGATAGGTCTGGTGACTTTTACTTCCCGGTATTTGATGTCTGGTGACTTTTATTTGATTCTCACACCGTGCTGGCAGTCGCCTGCTGCCAGAATCAAGGCCTCAATGGGTGTGATTTCAAGCCGTGTTGTCACAAACCTGCTGCTGAGAAGCATGTACACAACAGACACTCGAAGCCAAGCTGGGAGATGAAGGCTGTTTCCACGTCACCGGGGAGGTGGACTCAGGAATCCTGTTTCTATTCACTGTTTCCAGCCGCCAGGACACCAGAGACGGGGCGTTCTTCTCACAGGAGACGAACCCCCTCCCCCCGGAGTAACGAAGGACCCCAGTGTGCGTCTAAGTCCTCCTCCAGCCAAAGCACACTTCTGAAGGAGTTCCACATCTAACCTTCAGCCACCAGGACTCAAAGTGGCGACTCCGTCTACATGTGCAGCTGTCACATCAAGAATCAGCTTATGTATAGCAGGAAGTGCTAAACATCAGCCACAGGCAGGCGTGTGAGGTGCAGGAAGGATTAAGGTGAATAAAAAACAGTTCTTTATTTTAACAAACTTGTGGTTCAGTGCGGGGGACCAACAGGCCATGTAAATGACAAAAACAACCCCCCTCCTCTCTCTCCTACACATTGTTTACCTGGCATTTTGGACCAAAGTACATCATTTAATATACATTTTATTGATTTTTTACAGAGAGGAAGGGAGAAGGATAGAGAGTTAGAAACATCGATGAGAGAGAAACATCGATCAGCTGCTTCCTGCACACTCCCCAACTGAGGATGTGCCTGCAACCAAGGTACATGCCCTTGACCGGAATCAAACCTGGGACCCTTCAGTCCGCAGGCCAACGCTCTATCCACTGAGCCAAACCCGTCAGGGCAAAGTACATCATTTAAAAGGAGCTGGGTGCTATTTAAATATTTCCCAATGGCCCTAGTCGGTTTGGCTCAGTGGATAGAGCATCGGCCTGCGGACTGAAGGGTCCCAGGTTCAATTCCAGTGAAGGGCACATGCCCGGGTTGTGGGCTCAATCCCCAGTAGGGGGCGTGCAGGAGGCAGCTGATCAAATATCCTCTCATCATTGATGTTTCCATCTCTCTATCCCTGCCACTTTGAAATCAATAATATATATATATATATATATATATATATATATAAAATAAATAAATAAATAAGTACAGTGGGGCCTTGACTTACGAGTTTAATTCGTTCCGAGACCGAGCTCGTTAAGGAGCTCGTTAACTCAAATTACTTTGTCAACTCAATGCAAAAAATTGGCCGAGAGACAGCTGGTATCTCAAAAAACTCGTTAGTTGGGACACTCGTTAAGTCAAGGCCCCACTGTAAATGCTTTACAAATGGACTTGACCGTGGAGGTCAAGAGTTGGCTAAAAGAAGGCTTTCAAGCCCATCAATCCTTATTTCAAATGTGCACTCTGCTCTGAATTCCAAATGGAACCGTCCTCCGTCTAGCAGCTCCTTTTCTGGTTATTTGCTTGGGACCCTCCCAGGGAGCTCCCCCCAGGGCCAACCCTGAGTGTCTCCTGAGTTACCCACCCCTAATCCGCACACTTGGGTACCCGCCCCCCCGCTCCCCTCCACCCCAGGCATTTTCTCGGGTTCAGGTCAGCACTCTCTCTAGTGGTAAAGTGACCTGGGTATTAATTGTGCACAGAAAAATAAAGAGTGCTGCTTCTGCTCCAGCCACCCACTGCAAAAGCCTCCCCCTACTCATCCTGAGCAAACAGCTGGCTATTTTCAACCTGCGTTCACGGCGGGTCTTCGTCTTTCCTCTTCCAGGCAGTTCACCTCTTCCAGATTGCTTCTATTTTAAAGGGACGCCCACACGCAGGAAATCCCCTCGAAGGGGGTATTCAAAGTCATTCTCAAGGTCAGCTGACCACCTTTCAAAGGTGCATTACGTACATCTGAAAATAGAACACCTAATGCACTGGGCTTTGGCTGAGTGGTTACAGGGGGCTGTAATAGATGCTATAAAGTCACTTCCATTTATAGAATGTTTAAGAGTTTTGAGAAGTGCCTTCGCGTGCTTTCTTCAGTTCGTCATCACACGTCTGTGGGGAGTGGAGGGCGGGGATCATCACCGCCACTTTCCTAACAGGAAGCAGTATAGCGACATGGCATACAGCACAGGCCCTGGTGCTGCTCTTGGTGCCTCAGTTTCCCTGTATGTGAAACAAGGGTAATGATAACACTTGCCGGACAGGATTGTTGTGGGATTTGGGGAAAGCACTGTGGGCCTGGCTCACTGTTAGAGCCTTCTGTGTGATGCCACAGGGGTACAGGGGAAACTGCTCTCAGACAGGTGTTCGGACCTGAGGTCCCCACGCAGGTGTGGGGTAGAGCTGGGGTGGGATCCATGTCCTAACCCTTCGAGCGGAGCTGTGGCCCTCCCCGTGCTGCCTTCCTGGGCTCCAGCCTGGAATCTCCCCAAGGAATGCATCTCCAGGGCAGCCCACCGTGCTCCCTGTTGGATGGGACCGGCCCCCTCAGCCCACCGTGCTCCCTGTTGGATGGGACCGGCCCCCTCAGCCCACCGTGCTCCCTGTTGGATGGGACCGGCCCCCTCAGCCCACCGTGCTCCCTGTTGGATGGGACCGGCCCCCTCAGCCCACCGTGCTCCCTGTTGGATGGGACCGGCCCCCTCAGCCCACCGTGCTCCATGTTGGATGGGACCGGCCCCCTCAGCCCACCGTGCTCCCTGTTGGATGGGACCGGCCCCCTCAGCCCACCGTGCTCCATGTTGGATGGGACCGGCCCCCTCAGCCCACCGTGCTCCATGTTGGATGGGACCGGCCCCCTCAGCCCACCGTGCTCCCTGTTGGATGGGACCGGCCCCCTCAGCCCACCGTGCTCCATGTTGGATGGGACCGGCCCCCTCAGCCCACCGTGCTCCATGTTGGATGGGACCGGCCCCCTCAGCCCACCGTGCTCCATGTTGGATGGGACCGGCCCCCTCAGCCCACCGTGCTCCATGTTGGATGGGACCGGACCCCTCAGCGCACACCAGATGGAGGGTAGCAGCCCTTTGTCGTCTAGGGACACTCAGGGTGTCCGTGATTAAGGGCTCAGTGATCATTTGTCTGCTGACCCCCAGGACCCTGACACCCTCGATTCATATGGCCCCCGTGAGCAGGGGACGCTTCTCAGGCCTGAGGGAGCTTGGGCAAGCCCTGGGCTCCCTTCCCACTGGCCTCAGGGTTTTCGCCTCGGGACTTTCACTGTGTCCTCCCCTGCCATGTCCCTTCCTGGTGAAGTCCTGCGCCACCTCAGTGTCCAGGCACAGGCCAGCAATGTCACTGTGAGGCTCCTGGGTTCCCTGGGCAGAACCTCCCTCTCCAACAGCATCTTCCCGTCAGTATGAAGCATGTATCACACCAGTTGTTAAGGACACCCATTCCCCCACTTGACATGGGGCTCTCCAAGGCCCAGGCCCAGGCTCATTCCCCCGGTACCCAGCCCCTGCCTCGCAGAGTGACCGCTCACATCCGTGCCCAAGTGAAATGGCCTGAATGATCATTAGCACAAGTGACTCCCCTTTTTCTCTGGAGCAGGGGCAAGCAGGGGGATCTATGAGAACCTCCACCACCTTTGCCCCGAGTTCTGTGCGACCAGGCACCAGGGGAGTCTTCCAGGAAAAAGTTTCCTTTCGGAGTTACCAAGGCTGGACTGGCTTTCTGGAAACCAGTGAATAAAACGATGACCCCGAGAGAATCAAGGGGACGAGACAGGAGAGACCAGGACAAAAGGCTCAGGGACGTCGCCGCTAACTCTGGTGGGACGGAGACACACTCAGGCTTGGCAGCCTGCCCTCGGCAGCGGGCAGCGTGTGTGGAGAGCCAGTGAAAAGTCTGCTCTCGGTTGGCGTCATTAGTTAAATCCTTTCTGACTCACGGAAATGCGGTGGCAGAACAGCTAAGGGCCTAAACACCAACTCCCGAGTCTTGAGGAAGCTTTAATGTCGCAGCGCCCGATCCGGCAAGGATGTCACTGGGAAGCTGTCCTTTTACACCCTGTTCGGATGTCCCTGTTTCCACCCCAAGATCAGCCATGGGTTGTTCAAACCCCACTCAGCCTCCTCCTTTCAGACTGACCTGCCCCTTGCGATGCCCGGGGTCGGGCTGCTCACACATCATCTGGTGAGTGACCCTGGGAACTTCTCTAGGACTTTGTATTTCCAGGGCCCAGGCAAAGCTTCGGCTCACTGGGCTGGCATGTCGGCTTGCCGCCAATATTTTTAAAAAAATATATTTTTATTGATTTCAGAGCGGAAAGGAGAGGGAGAGAGAGATAGAAACATCAATGATGAGAGAGAATCACTGACCGGCTGCCTCCTGCACACCCCCTTGCCCTGGGCATGTGCCCTGATGGGGAATCAAACTGTGACCTCCTGGTTCATGGATGAATGCTCAACCACTGAGCCACACCGGCCGGGCTTGTCACCAATATTTGAAGAAATTACAAACATCCTCCGATTGGCCAAGCTCAGAAAGTTTTGTAGCTCAGTGTTGGCAAGGTTGTGGGGCCACAGCACGCCAGAAGGCAGAGTGGCAGGCCTATCGAAGTTAAAAATGCACGCACCACCCCTGGAAGTAACACAAGGAGTGCTGAATGTCAGCTGTAATTGACAAAGAAAGACGTCCACGTGCCTTGGCCCCAGCAAGTGCTACAACGGAAAGAATTAGCACCTGCTGAGCATTTGCAGGGGTAGGTGTGCCTCCAACACTGCGGCACAGTAATTCACTTAGTCCTCACAAACCCTCAGAGGCAGGCGGAGCATCCACCCATCTCACAGACGAGGCAGCTCCAGCAAGTGGCCTTCAAACCATGTGTCCAAGGTTCCCCTGCCAGTAAGAACACAGGTGCCTGGTTCGGGGGTGAGCTCGCTTAACTACTGCACTGCACGATACCCCTCCACAGTTCTGTACTATCTGTTACCACTGAAATATTTATTGTCTATAACAGAAAAGCTAGGGTGGCCCAAATATCCAGCATAACGGAGGGTTAAATATACTGTGGTTTTTCTGTTCAGGGGAACACCAGACAGTTGTTGTTTTTTTACAGAAACCCATAAATTTGATATTTGATATGGAAGTGTACTGATGGGTTACAACCTTGAAGCTAGAGAAGTGTAAGTTAGAAAAAGCAGAGTGCAGGAGAGTATCCTAGCATTTGTGGGGGGGAAATGCCTGCATATGCACAGTATGGCTCTGCAAGGAGAAATTAAAGTAACGAAGAAATTTTAAAAAAGCGAAACAAGTAGACAGGGAGCTAGGGGGAGGGGCGTGCTTGTCGCCGCACACCTGCCACACCTGCTGAACCCTGCACCAGGTACGGAGTGGATTACCTATTTGAAAAGAACAAAATAAAACTGATTTAAAAGAACAAACGACACCTGCAAAGTGCATCCTAAAGGCCTAACAGAAAACACAGCGCCGGAGATGCACTCTATCACTGCATGTCCACATCGTGTTAACGCGGTCTGTGTGTGCGTATTTCTTCCCTGCACCGGCTGCTCGGAGGGGCCAGCCTAGGACTCCACAACCGACTGTGGAAGGAACGAATAGCGCGATGCTAAGTTGAACCGCGTGGACCTGACATTCATGAGGTTGCCCGCAGCCCTGAGTAGCCCAGGGGTCTGTGTTTCCCTCTGGAAACTGAGCTCCGTGCGGACGAGCTGGGAGAGGCGTGGAGCAGGACCTCCCTCGGAGCCCCAGGAGGAACCAGCCCTGCCGACGCCTTGATTTCGGGCTTCTGGCCTCAAAGTGTGAGACAACAGGTTTCTGTGCTCTAAGCCACCAAGTGGGTGATGGTTTGTGATGACAAACCAGGAAGGGCATACAGCCACCGGAGCCGAACAGAGACTCACAGGCACCAGTTTCTGCCCCGGAGCAGCATCCCTAGAAGGGCAGCGAGTGAGCTAGCATGGGAGCAGCTGATGGCAGGGAGGGGGAGGGAGGTGGCCTGGGCATTGTTATGACTCTTAGGCTTCGTGCTGAGCAGAACCAAAGGCCCCCCTGGGCCCAGGGCCCCTTTCTCTGCCGGGCAGGCTGCTCTCAGCGGAGAGAAGAATCACCTGACAAGCCTGCTCTTTTTCACACCCCGTGGAGAACTGCTTAGGACTCTGTTTTGTTCCTGGCTTTTACAGAAGGATTTTGTAGTGATTTATTTTTTTCCAGGCGTTTTGGCAGCTCTGAGGGGGACAATAAAAAAGCCCATTAATGCCAGCATGTGCCACCAGAGACGCTGGAGTGCTGACACATCCTTAATTAAAGCCGAAGGAGCCGGGGCTCACCTGGGTCTCCAAGTCGCCGCGGGGCGGGTAGTTCGGTTCCGGGGGCCCGTCCTCGCCTCTTCGGGGACATCCCTTATTCTGTTGGATGAATTCTTCCAGCCTTAAAACCTAAAAGAGAGGAACAGAAATGCTTGGCAATGACACCCGTCTCCTGGACGTGGCCCTTATTTGGGAGTTCCTTCTCCTGGGTCCATCAGTTCTGGGGACAGTGCCCCATTAGACAAGTTCAAATATGCTTCCGGAAAGGCCATTCCTTTTTTTAAAAAAATATTTTTATTGACTTCAGGGTGGAAGGGAGAGGGAGAGATTGAGCCCGAAACCCGGACATGTGCTCTGACTGGGAATCGAACCAGGACCTCTTGGTTCCTAGGTGGATGCTCAACCACTGAGCCACAGCAGCTGGGCCAGAAAGGCCATTTCTAACCAGCTGGCTGCGTAGCGGTCCCAGAAGAAGCCGAGCCTGCAGGTTTGCAGGAGTCCACACCTCCCTCACGTGACTTACATGCGCCTGGCTACACTGGAGCTGCTTTTCATTGGCTTCCACACCATTTCACACCATTTCTTTTCTTTTTTTAAGTTCATTGGTAAAGAAAAGAAACAATATGTAATAATTATACAGATAAATTGAGAGAAGAGTAGCTGGAAGGTGCTATTACATTATAAAGCCTTAATTACGATAATTATTATCCACTAACTAATTGTCAAGTGTCAGTTTAACAGGCTGGCTTCGCAGCCTCAGACTTTGAAAGGAATGAGGCCAATAACCATAAAGGAAACTCAGACACCGCTAACAAGTCTTCATAGAAAGCAGAAGACTCTTCAGGCACCGTGCTAGGTACGTGGAGGGGAGAGGAAGGGAGTGAGAGCAAAATGGTAAAAAAATATCATCCCTGCCATCAAGAGGCTGTCATTTTACGGCAAAAGCAGATGCATGTTTCTAATCACAGCACACATACAAAATAATAACAGTACAGTGGGGCCTTGACTTACGAGGGTCCTAACGAGTTGAGATATCAGCTGTCTCTCGGCCGATTTTTTGCATTGAGTTGATAGTAATTTGAGTTAACAAGCTCCTTAACGAGCTTGGTCTTGGAACGAATTAAACTCGTAAGTCAAGGCCCCACTGTACCATTAATGGCATGTTGGCTCTGTGCCAGGCCAGGACCTAAGCATTTTACAGTAACAGCTCTTCTAATCTTCACAGCTACTATGAGGTAGGTACTACTGGGTACTATTACCAAGAACTTACAACAATACACTCTGTCTGGGGGAGTCGAGGGCAGCCTGGGGGGCAGTGAAGGATGACTAGGAGTCCATCAGTGGCAAGGGTGAGAAAAGGCATTTTGAGCAGCAAAGATCGCAGGTGTAGGGGTAGAGGGTGGGTAGGATGTGTGTGAGGACTGGAGGAAGGTTCCATGTCAGAAGGCCTCGTACGAAGAAGTAGACAGGAGGGGGCAGAGTCCTGGGGGATAGTGATGGTAAGTTAGGTTGGGTCTGAACTGTGAAAAACATGAGAATTAAAGATTTTAGAGGCCTGGCTGATGTGGCTCAGTGATTGAGAGTCAACCCATGAATCAGGAGGTCGTGGTTCAATTCCCCATTGTGGGCTCAATCCCCAGTGGGGGCGTGCAGGAGGCAGCCAATCGGTGTTTCTCTCTCAACGTTAATGTTTCTATCTCTCTCTCCCTCTCTTCCCTCTCTCTGAAATCAATAAAAACATATCCTACTAATATGCAAATTGACCGAACAGTGGAATGACCAGTCACTATGACGTGCACTGACCACCAGGGGGAAGATGCTCAATGCAGGAGCTGCCCCCTGGTGGTCAGTGTGCTCAGCCAGAAGCTGGTCTCACAGCTGGCGAGCACAGCAGCAGTGGCGGGAGCCTCTCCTACCTCTGCAGCAACACTAAGGACCCCTCAGGGGATGTCCACCTGCTGGCTTAGGCCCACTCCCCCTGGGGCTCCTGGACATCCCCTGAGGGCTCTTGGATTGCAAGAGGGTTCAGGCCGGGCTAAGGGACACCCCCCTCAAGTGCACAAATTTCATGCACTGGGCCTCTATTTTTTAAAAATTATTTTAGGGAAAGAGGAGTAGACCTTGAGCAGACTAGGGTTTTGGAGCACTAGTTCTGGAATCGGCTGACCTGGCAGAATGGGGAGGCGGGCCATACAGGGCAGGCTCTCAGGAGACTCTGCAGACCATCCAGAAGAACTGCAAGGCCATCAGAATGTCTTCTCGGCTTTACATAATGAATATTTGGGGGAGGGATATTTAAAGGCTATGAAACCACTTACACTGCATCTTGCGAAGGCTTATGACATATTTAAGGGAGCTCTGTGAGATTTGTTTACAAGCAGGTAAAGAAAACGGAGCCTGGGCGAGTCAGTCTGAGGGTCTTAACCAAGGCATTGGTGTAGAGAGGGGAGAGGACCCAGGGGCTTTCGTGGAAGGACCCACAGGACTTGATAACCTGACTGGATGTGATGGTGGGGCAGGGTGGGGACTCAGGCTGAGGACAGCAGAGCAGGAGAGTGGATGTGGTCAAGGTGACCCTTCCATTCCTGGCTTTGGTAGGTGGGTGGATAATGACACCATTAAGGTGGCAGAAGAAATGGAGGTTGACGAGCAGCCTGAGGCACTCTGTCCATGGGCAGTCTCCGGGCCATGCCCAGTAAACACTCAGGTTCTGAACGATGCTCGGCATCACAGAGGCCACATGCTCCACTAGAGGGAGTATCAGCACAGTGGTCCACAGTGGGGTCTTTAGAGCCCCATCACCCGGATGAATCCCAGATCCACTACTTTGTTACCTGTGTGACTCCGAGGAAGTGATTCACCTTCTCTGTTCCTCAGTTTTCTCCTTTGTAAACCGGAGATACTAACAGTACAATGGTTGTAAGGTTTACTAGTACGAGTTAGTAGTGTAAACTGCTTAGACAGTATCTTAACTGAGGAGGTGCTTAACACAGGTTCACCGTTGTTATTGTAAACGGAGAGGTCCTTAGGGGCATTCTGAGAAACAGGCAGGTGATGGTCCAGGTGTCCAAGTCAGAAGCAGAGGGGGCTGGTCCCACACACATATGTGAAGCCCTCCCGAGCTCTGCAGGGCGGGGTGGTCCAGGTCCCATATGAAGATGGCAGTATAGGTCAACAGGGAGGGAGGGAGGGAGGAGAGGAAGGAAAGGAGTGAGGAAGGGAGAAAAGGAGGAGAAAGGAAGAGCGAGAAATGGGCCTCTTTGCTGGGCAGCCCACCTTGGGCTGAGATGGAACAGAAATCTCTATAGCAGAGACTTTCCACCAAGACCTCACCTCTAGAGCCCCTGACATACCAAGTCATGTCTTGCTCATCTTTTTTAAAATATGCCAATTTGTGAGATAGAAAAATGGTTAGAGCCCGGCTGGTGTGGCTCAGTTGGTCACCGGTTCAATTCCTGGTCAGGGCATGTGCCCAGGTTGTGGACTCGATCCCTAGTAGAGGGCAGCCGATTGATGTTTCTCTCTCATCCATGTTTTTTCTCTCTCTCTCTCTCTCTCTCTCTCTCTCTCTCTCTCTCTCTCTCTAAAAATACAATAAAAACATATTTTTTAAAAAAGAAAAAGGTCAGAGAAAGAGTGTGTACTCCTCACTCAGCTGAAGGAACCAACACATCACAAATACAGAGGCAGCCCTGTGTTTCTCCAGCCCATCAGCCTTGCTCCCTTCTAGAACTAACCACTGCTCAAGCCTGGATGCATCCTCCTCACGTGTGTCTCTGAACTGAACTCCATTTCATGTACCCTAAACATCGTAATGGTTTTGGACATGGCTCTGGATCCGTCAAAGCTCCCCCGGGAGGCTGTGATGCACGGCCTGGGCTGAGGAACCAATTTCACGGGCTCCTGTGGGGTGGCAGGTGCAGGGCTCGTCTGGAGGGTGTGAGGGAGGGCAGGGGAAGGAAGGAACCCTCTTCACAGTTTCGTTTTTGTCTAATCAGGCTCAGGGGTGAACTCTGTTTCCAGCCCCTTCTCCTTAGTGACATGGCAACCGCTCTTTGAAACTTTGACCTTGGTCTCTGGGTGGTCTGGGCAGGTGGGCCCATGAAGCAAACTGTTGTTCATCTGGTCTACATCCAATGCCTACCCCTTTCTCCCTTGCCTCCCTCCACCATGGAGGCCTGGCAGCTGAATCCATGCTCTCCCAGGCGGGCCACCTGGCACAGGTGTTACCCACGGGAGCAGGAGTCCGCTGGGCTGCTGCGATTGCTCTCTGCTGCCTTCTGGCGTGGGCAGGCCTGGTCACCAGTGCTTCCGTTTCCTGGTTGAAATTTGGACCTGACAACGGGTGTGGCAACAGACACCAGGAATCTGAGCCGACTTCTCCATTTGATGCAACAGGCTCAGTGCCCAGGGCCCACGATATTTTTAGGGGCCATGAAAATATTTTAATTCCTTTCAAAATCACAAGAAAAAAAAATATAGCCTGGCTGTATTCGTCTTTATAGGAATGCAGTCATAAAAAATAATTTTTAATTTCTGATCAAGGAAAGGAGCCATGACAGCAGGCATGTCTAATGCCCACAGAAGTGATAACGAAGCCAGGGTGTGAAGGAGCGATCAGCACCGCAGCTTGACCAGCTTGGTATCATTTGGCCACAGAACCAAGACCAGCAGCCTCCTGCCTCCTTCTCTCATGTGAGACATTAAGTGCCTCTTTTATAAGCCTCCATAAATCAGGCTCTCTGCTAGCTGTGGCTAAATTTATGCCCTGAGACAGCTTTCTTGTTGTGCTGAGTCCTTTTGTTTCTTCCGAGGATGCTGAATGTGATAAGGTCGGGGCAGCTCCCTGAGATTCCCGGCACCTCAGTTAACCAGCAGCTCCGAGGACCCAGAACCCCCCTCCCACACCCTGCATTGATTCGAGACTTACCTGGAGCAGAGAATCCTGGAGCTTCACATTTAGGGCCGCTTTCTCTTCTTCTAGCTGCTTTATTTCATTTTCTGATTTCTTCTTCACTTCTTCCAACTGTTCTTCTACTTCCTAAATGGTGATGAGGAGAGTTAGCCACACAAGGCACAAAAACATGGACTGGACACACCCTGCCTGATTCCCAAAGGGGTCCAACGAAGCTTATGAGAGTCATAAAATACTGAAAGGAAAAACAGCAATATGGTAGACAACGATAATCACATTAAATGTAAATGGTCTAAATGACCTCCAAAAGTCAGAGGTTGTCAAAATGAGTAAGACCCAGCTATACCATAAAAGCTCTTTGAACAGAAAGATATAGGTCGATTAAAAGTAAAGAAAAAGATTAAAACGGACCATGAAACACTGACTATGAAAACAATAGAATGACTATATTTGTATCAAAGTAGACTTCAGGACGGCAGTATTTCACAAATGATTAAAGGGCCAATTCATTCAGAAGACATAATAATCTTTATCTAATAAATAAGTCTGACTTTACATAAAGCAAAAGCTAAGGAGAACTATAAAATGTGACAATTTAAATGTGAGATTTCAGTACTCCTTTCTCAGTAATCAACAGAACAAGTACAGAAAAATTAATGAGGAAATAAAATATTGAGCAAGACTATTCAGCACTTATAGAACACTCCGCCCAACAGCAGTAGATCCATATTCTTTTCAAGTGCACAAGGACCATCCATCAAGACAGACCATATTTGAGCCATAAACAAGATGAATAATTGAAAAGGAATGAAATTATAGAGTCCATTCTTTGACCACAAGGGAACTGAATTAGAAAGCAACAGGAAAGGTCCCAATATTAAGCAACATATTTCTAAATAACCAAGAGTATTTTTTGGAGTTGATAGAAACAACAAGTTGGGAAAAATTTTTTAAGAAAATTATTCAAATTTATAATTATTAGTAAAAGTAGAAAGCAGAGGTCTAGAAAGGTTTGGGTGATTTCGTCAAGGTCTGACAGTGAGTCCGTTTCCCCAGACTCAGCACTTCCTACACACGGACTTGAGTCTATGTTTGAGGGCATGGAAGATGGTAAGTTCCTTGAAAGCATGCGTGATTCCTCTATCTCTGCACTGCTCAAAGCACAGGGCACACGTTCAATAAATGGTAAACACACAGGGAGTGGACAGTGGCAGGTGAGGACCTGGGGCTGCTCCCCAAGGCCGGGGCAGTGTGTCTTCCGTTACACCACAGAGGACACATCTTAGTGTCTTCGCAGTCAGGCAGGCTATGTGACTCTCAATCACCTAATCCCCCAGGCTCCTCATCTGCGCAACAGGAAAACCTCTGCCTCCAGGGCTGAGATAAGGAGGGACCCATGGAGCGGAGGGCTGTCGTTCCTTTTGGCTGCCCAGCACCCGATTCTCCTCCAGGTGTTTGGGATACATCAGAGCCCTCCTTCCGCCTCAGACCCCGAGAACACCAGACCTACCTTCCCAGGCTTCACATTTAGGGCTGGTTTCTCTTCTTCTAGCTCAGTGGTTCTCAACCTTCTGACCCTTTAAATACAGTTCCTCATGTTGTGACCCAACCATAAAATTATTTTCATTGCTACTTCATAACTGTAATGTTGCTACTGTTAGGAATCGTCATGTAAATATCTGATATGCAGGATGGTCTTAGGCGACCCTTGTGAAAGGGTCGTTTGACCGCCAAAGGGGTCGCGACCCACAGGTTGAGAACCGCTGTTCTAGCTGCTTTACTTTGAATGAAGCCAGAGATACATACAAGTGGGAGGCACCTGGATCTGGCAACTTCAGTTTCCAGGGCGGCTGGACTGGTCATTCGAGAGCAGCACTGACCACTGGAATTCTGTGGTGATGGGTCTAAAATAGACTATCCAACATGGCAGCCACTAGAAACATGAGCACTTGCAGTGTGGCTAGTCCCACTGAATGTCACATTTTATTTAATTGTGATGAATTTAAATGTAAACAGCCACGTGTGTCTAGTAGCTACTATGTAAGACAGCATGGTCCTCTAGGCCATGTCCAGGATCCGGTACAGGTGGTGTCAGCAATGAAAACTGCAGGTCTGGGCTCAGAGGTTGGGGGCTGGGGGGTGGGGGGAGTGTACTCACCAGTCTCTCAGTAACTTTGGATATTCCTGGCTGGGTAGCTGCTCAGTTTCCTGGCCTTCCAGAAACCTACTCATTACTGCCCATTACTAAATTCCTTTTCTGCTTAAACTCCCCAGGGTGGGTGTGTGACACTTGCCACCGGGAATCCTAAGCTATACAACCAAGATGTGGAATGCAACAGGAGCTAGCACAGCCCAGGAGGCATTCAGTAACACTCTCCCTACGAATCGGTGCAGGCAAGTGCTTATTCTAGGATGTATGCTCTATTCTGTCTGTCAAGATTACGTGGTCATAGGATGTAATTCTGTGGACGAGGAAGACAGGCAGTCCTTCGGGGGCAACTCCAGCCACCTGTAGTGTCTTCCTCAGGTTAGGGTAGCATTCAGAATACACAGTACACCCACAGCAAAGGCCTCAGAGAAATATTGCCCTCTTAACTCTAGAGGGGAAGACACTATCTATTTTTAGTCCATGAACCCTAGATTTGGGGCCTCTTCAAGGTTTTACCTAATCTGCATGGCCTAATTTATATAATGTATATCCTCAGTTTATAGAAAATACCAAAAAGTTAAAAAAAAAACCTGGCCCCCCTCCAACCCAGGAGGAAACACAATTTATTTCTACATGATTCACTTCCCAAATAGACTCATGACCCCTGATTAAGGCTGAAGTGGGATTTCTACACTCAGAGTCAGGCTTGGCTGATGGGTTACCAGGGCAACCTGCAGCTCCCGGAGAGCTACTGTCCCTCCCACTGACTGGGGCTCAGGATGGAACGACTGTGAGTCTGAGAACTGGATTTGTGCGAACAGTCACCGCTTATGGGGAGAAAAATGCTTTCAAAACAGTTGTTTCCTACCCAGCACAGGAGTGGGAAAGCATGGGCCCTGGAGTCAGGCTGTCAGGGTTTTTTGTGTTTTTTAAAAAAATGTTTTTATTGATTTCAGAGAGAGGAAAGGAGAGGGAGATCAAAACATCAATGATGAGAAAAAAAAACACACAAAAAAAACATCAATGATGAGAGAATCATTGATGGGTTGCCTCCTGCACGCCCCCTACTACCTACTGGGGATGGAGCTCACAACCCAGGCATATGCCCTGACTGGAAATCAAACCATGACTCTTGGTTCATGGGTTGACTCTCAATCACTGAGCCACACTGGTGTGGCAGGTTTTAATACTACCTCTATCACTCACTGTCTGTATTAAGCCTCAGTTTTCTCACCTCTAAAATGGGCATATGAACACTCATTTTGTAATATTGTTAGGGAGGATTAAGTGTGTTAACAAGAATTTAGTGCTTTATAATATTACTAGAGGCCTGGCGCACAAATTCGTGCACGGGTAGGGTCTGGCTGGCCTGCTCAGATAAGGGCCGATTGGGCAGGGCCGACAGCGGGTAGGGGACTCAGGAGGTTGGCCGGCCGGCCCCGCCCCCAATCGGGGTTGGGGGGGCCGATCAGGGGTGGGGCTGGCCCGGGGGAGGGGCCACGGGTGGTTGGGGCCGCAGTGCAAGTCATAGTGACCGGTCATTCCGGTTGCTTGGCTTTTATATATATAGATCAGACATGACGTCACACAGTGCACATGGTAACTAACCATAGCCACTGTTTATTGAACTTTCACTACATGCCGTGCACTGAGCTAAGAGTTTAGACATAATACCACATTTAATCCACATAACAAGCCTTCAAAGTATGAAGCCTTATTTCAAAATCAGGTTTCAGAGAGGTTAATGGCCTGTCCATGGTCATACAGCTAGTGGGAGAGTCAGGACTTGGACCCAGGACTAGTCTGGGCCTTTCATGAGTTCATTTATTTATCCAACACATATGTACTGAGCACCTACTACTCTTAACCGTCACACAACACGGCATTCCTGTGACATATGATCATCTTTCAGGGAAAACTGAAATTGATGGTAGGCTCTGGGGTATAAAGAGGCTTTCTTGTAATACAGTTGTCTCCCTTTATCTGCACTTTCGCTTTCCGTGGTTTCGGTCACCCACGGTCAACCACAGTCCAAAAATATCACATGACAAATTCCAGGGCCCTAGCCGGTTTGGCTCAGTGGATAGAGCGTCGGCCTGTGGACCAAAGGGTCCTGGGTTCAATTCTGGTCAAGAGCATGTACCCTGGATGCAGGCTCCTTCCCGGCCCGGGCCCTGGTTGGGGCTCGTGTAGGAGGTAACCAATCGATGTGTTTCTCTCACATCAATGTTTCTCTTTGTCTTTCCCTCTCTCTTCCACTCTCCCTAAAAATCAATGAAAAAATATCCTTGGGTGAATATTAAAAAAAAAAAGACTCTTTGCTCTAGCCGGTTTGGCTTAGTGGATAGAGCATCAGCCTGCAGACTGAAGGGTTCCGGTTTCGATTCCGGTCAAGGGCACATACCTAAGTTACAGGCAAATTCAACTCCACTCAGGCAAATTCAAGACCACTAGTAGCAACTATGGTAAACAGTAGCTTGGGAAAAATATCCTTGGGTGAGAATTAAAATAAAGAATGAAGCCAGAGGTATCACACTATATGACTTCAAATTAGAAAAAAAAAAAAATTCCAGCAATAAAACTATTCATGTTTTAAATCATGTCCCATTCTGAGTAGTGGGATGAAATCCTGCACCATTTCACTCTGTTCTGCTGGGACGTGCCTCATCCTTTGTCCAGCGTCTCCAAGCTCCCCGCCCATCAGTCACTTAGCAGCCGTCTGGGTCATCAGATCCACTGCCATGGTATCACAGTGCTTGTGCTCGAGTCCCCCTTATTGTACCTAATAATGGCCCCAGAGCCATCCACATAACTTTTATTACAATATATTGTTAAATTGTTCTGTTTTATTATTAGTTACTGTTGTTCATCTCTACCAGGTCTAATTTATACATTAAATTTTATCTTAGGTATGTGTGCTCAGGAAGAAACAGTGTATACAGGTACTATCCACGGTCTCAGGCATTCACTGGGGGTCTTGGGATGTGTCCCTCATGGGTAAGGGCGATGACTGTAATTAAAGGTCCACCTATGTTCACAATAACATTTACCGTTTTCCTAAAACATTCACGTAGGCTATTTGCTTTCCCAGCAAATGGGAGAGACGAGGCTTTGCGTTCCTCCTCAGCAGAAAGCCGTCCCTTTGCTGGGAGGTCGGAACAGTACCCAGAGGCTGAGAATCCCGCACACTGCCAGGCCTCCACGCAGTACCTGCACCCATGCTGTGCTTATGCAGCCCCAGGCTCTAGCATGTGCTTTGCTTTTTTCACATGGATCACCTCATTTAATCCTCCTACTCTATGGGGTGCTGTTTTCATCGTGTTTTATACATGAGGAAGTTGAGGCTGGCAGAATTTCTCTCTGAGGGGGCCCAGGTTAAATAACCGCTCTGGTCATGGAGCTAGAGGGTGACAGGGTTGGGATTTGAGACCAGCTGTCAGCCAGGCCTGAGTGTTTGCTTCATATTACTTCTCTCTGTTTTTGCTGAGTGGAGTTGAATCTGCCTGTTAAACGCTCTGATGACACAATTGTAGCCCATGTCAATGGCTCCAGGCCCACTGTCTTAGGGTGTGACAGGGGGGACTTATAATCTAATAAATAGAGCACCTGTATTAGTCTGCAAAGTAATCATATTATTTTAAATCTTAGAACACATATATATGTGAATAGGGGGTTACGTTTTTCTTAAAGTTTCCTCTTCATGTTTAAACAAATATTTTTATTGAATTCAGAGAGGAAGGGAGAGGGAGAGAGATGGAAACATCAATGATGAGAAAGGTTCATTGACTGGCTGCCTCCCGCATACCCCCCACTGGGGATCGAGCCTGCAACCTGAGCATGTGCCCTGAGCAGGAATTGAACCAATGACCTCTTGGTTCCTGGGTTGATGCTCAACCGCTGAGCCACACTTAGCTGGGCTTAAAGTTTCCTTCTCAAGGCCTGTGTGAAGCCATTAACTGAGCTGTGAATTCAGCATGGTCAGGCCGACCCACCAGGAATCAAAACATCATCTCACCAGCATCATTTCATCGCCTGATGACTAATTTTAATAGCTGACGTCTGCGGACCCCCAGGCCTGCATTCCTCACCCCATGCCCTTCCCCTTTATAATCCTGTCCCCTGAATCTTGCTGGAAGGCAGGATTTGATGCTGGTAAGGGCCCTAATGTCTTCTTGGTTGGCTGGCCTTCTCAATAAATGCCTAATATGAGTCAACCCTGCCTTCGTTATTGGACACAGCGACAGGCAGCCCGAGCCCAACGGGGGGTTTCCCGGTAACAGGTGTCCCATCCCCTCCAAAGACCCCAAACCTCCTTTGGACGGAGAACTAGCTCAGATCTGCACACAGCAGGAGCTCAGCAAACAGGAAGGAAAGGGGAAATAAAAGAGGAAAGAGGGAGGGAAAGAAGAGGAACCGGAAAGCATCCGTGAGAGCGACCTCACCATCTGCAGCCGCTTCCTGTCGGCCTCCGCGGACGAGCGCACCGACTTGATTTCCGCCTTGTGCGTCCTCACCAGGTCCTCCAGGCGCCGCACCAGCTGCTCTTTCAGATGCTTCTTCTCCTCCTCCGTCTGCTGTTTGAGTTTACGAAGGTCCTGTTCGTACTGTTGCTTCAGGTGTTCCGTCTCCACACCCGCCTCTTTCTCCGTCTATAAAAAGAGGGCCCCGTAAACCTGCGAAGCGGGGTGATGAGCAGGGGACCACTGTTTCTTTTCTGTGCAACTTTTACAGTGTTTATGTACTGGTTTACAGCCTGTTTCACAAGATGCAATAAAGTTTATAAGACTATATATTTGATATTGGTAAGAGACTTGACTTTATGCACCATCGGAAAAGGGCTCTTCGGAATAATAGTGGATCTATTGTCACAGGCTCAGACAGGCCCATTACATAGAGCAGGGGTGGGGAACATCCGGCCCACGGGCTGTATAAGGCCCAAGAAATCGTTTGGTCTGGCCCTGCCAAGGCCTGAGGGGTGAGTTAATTAAATGTTTGACCAAATACAGCAGGCTAATTTTTAAGCTGAGAATTTTGTATGGCCTGCGAATGGTGTTATAAATATCTAAATGGCCCTTGGCAGAAAAAAGGTTCCCCACCCCTGCTGTACAGGTTCCCAAAGAATGCTTTCTTTGTTTGAACTAGGAACATACAGAGGGGACACTAAGCAAGTTTCCAGTTTCCCAGGAGTCGATGATAAGGAGTTTGGAGAATTCTGCTACATTCTCAGTCTCCTAGTTTTCAAATGCCATGAAGTTGGTGGGAAGTTGGCTGGAATCCAGACCCACACACCCACCCCTGGAACCATGGCACCTGCTGCTTCCTGATCATCGTGGTTAGGGATTGAGCTCTCACCTGAAGCTCATTCTAGCAAAGCCCCGTGTCCCCACCCCCAGGGCTGGCTCACACACACCTGCGTGTCTGTGCCTCCTTTCGTACGCGGGCACTCCGTGGGAAGGTTCTCATCCTGCTGAGGACGGGGACTGCGGGCTTCCACGTCGTTTCCTTTCCCTAAGGCCTCATTCTCCGAAATTCGCTCGGTCTTCATGTCATCTACGAGCAAAAGGTTCATCATCATTTGGAATGCCCTTGGCCTTGACCTCAGTCTGAGTCTGAGGCCTTCCGCCACTGAGTGCCATGCTGCTATTCAACCCTTTTGCCCACCACTCCCTACGTAACCCCTGCTCCTCGGCCTCCCGACGCTCAAGCACGGTCTAGTCCAGTGATGGCGAACCTATGACACGCGTGTCAGAGGTGACACGCAAACTCAGTTTTTTGGTTGATTTTTCTTTGTTAAATGGCATTTAAATGTATAAAATAAATATCAAAAATATAAGTCTTTGTTTTACTATGGTGGCAAATATCAAAAAATTTCTATGTGACACGACACCAGAGTTAAGTTAGGGTTTTTCAAAATGCTGACACGCCGAGCTCAAAAGGTTCGCCCTCACTGGTCAAGGTGGTGATTGCCACCTTTGCTCGAGCAGCACCCTGGGCTCAGATAGTTGTTCTGCTCTCCTTCTTAAACTACTCATCTTTAATTTTTGTGATTGTTTTCCAAAAGTTAGAAAAACTGAACATGTCCCTGGGCATATGTACATTCAAAGGTTTTAAGCTAAAAGGAATTTAAAGGATAAGACAAAAAATAAATATAACTAAAACTGCTCATTTTCTTCCCCTGTTCCCCTAGGTACTCATTCCCCACTTCAGAGACCGCCGCTCTAAACCCTCCACACCCTCTGGTTCCTGCTCGGACCTCTCCTCCTCTGCGCCTTTCCAGGCCTCCGGGACTCCTCCTTCCCCGACACTGCCTTCTCCTCCTGCCTGGGCCACGCCCCGGAAGCCAAAGCCTGGGCTGGAATGTCACCGTCCTCCATGCCCCCTGCAGGCAGAGCCCCTGCTGTGTGCCTTTGTTTTCTCTCCCAGCCAAGCTGGTCACACTGTAGGTATTAGAGAACTTTCTGAGGACGGAGCCCAGTGGGAGGCACGTAGGAATCAGATATTCTTAGACACAAGCACCAGCGCTATCACCAACCAGTCTGGCTGGCCCTGACCTAGCCGTTTTCCCTCTCAGACTCAGTTCCTCAGCTGTAACATGTGACGCTGACACCACCCAGCGCACAGAATTATGGGGAAGACTCAATAAGTCACAGTGTGAGATAATGCTAAACGGGTAATGTGTATGGTGGTTACCAGAGGAGAAGGGGGTTCGAGGGAGGATGAAGAGGAGAAAGGGGGATGAAGAGGGAAAAGGGGGTCAAATATATGGTGACAGAAGGAAACTAGACCTCAGGTGTTGAGCACACAACAGAGTATACATATGCATTAATGAAGTTGTACAACTGAAATTTATATAATGTTATTAACCAATATCACCTCAATAAATTAAAATATTAAAAAGTATAGTGTTGTCTAAGTGTGGGGACAAAGCCAGTGCTGAGAGGTGCGGGCACGGTGGTGGGCTGGTGGGGCAATATTTGGGAGCAAGGGGTCCTTTCGATTCACACCTTTTAGAGGTCTGGCCTGCAGCAGCCTGAGGTGCTGGCTCACCTGTGTCCTCCATGGACCGGACTGGCCCACCAGGTGGGGCCGATCAAACTGCCCTGCCCCTCCACTCCGCTCCCAACCTGGCGGCTAACCTTCCCCCTGCAAGGAAATCGTTCCAGGGTCTCACCGGTTTTCTGTGCCCCGTGGCACTCCTGCAGTATTAGTCTGTCTTTGGCCATGGCCAGCTTCTCCCCAAGTTTCTTGGCAGTGCTTTTCAACTCCGAGTTCTCCTGTCGAGCCTCCTTGAGCTGCACATCCAGGTCCTAAACAGACAGATGGTCTCATTCTACAGTTCTGGGTAGAGACACCCTCTGCACACAGAGCCAACATCAGGTCTGAATGGTGGGGACGCCCTTAGTCTCTGGAATTCAGTGGCCCAGGGCTCAACAAATCCCTACTCATCCTCTGATTGGCTGTGTGACCTTGGGCAAGTTACTTAACCTTTCTGTAGTGAGGATCAAAAGAGAGGAAGTGTCTGGGACAGAAAAAATACTCAGGGAATATTAGGAATAGCAGCCTCTGCTACTTTTAGGGGTAGGGGTCTGTAAGTCTGTGGGGTTCACATAACTGATTTAGTGGTCTGGCTCTCTACAAATACAAAGCCCCAAGGATTTTAGGGTAGGCAGGTTGTTATGGGTGAGCAGGGTCTTTAGAATTAGGCTGACCTGAGTTCAAAAACGTACAGTGGGGCCTTGACTTACAAGTTTAATTCGTTCTGAGACTGAGCTCGTTAACTCAAATTACTCTATCAACTCAATGCAAAAATCGGCCGAAAGACAGCTGGTATCTCAAAAAACTTGTTAGTCGGGACACTCGTAAGTCAAGGCCCCACTGTATTGGCCATGTGCCCAGCTAGGCCAGCCCTTAAGACTCTCAATTTCAGTCTTGTCTTATCATCTGTAAACTGGAAGTCTAAGCTCTCTGAAGTCAGGGGCCAACATTAGCTCACCTCGTGTCTCCTGCCCATAGGCCTGGCCTGGCACATAGTAGGTGTTCAATAAATACTTGCTAGATACATGTGGTTGGACTCAATGGAGATAATAAAGCTCACTTCGGTAGAAGTCGAGTGCTCCTCACAGTGCCTGACACATAGTAGGTGTGCCTGACACATAGTAGGTGTGCAGAATTAGGGGCTACGTTTATGCTCCCCTTGGGCAGGTGGGAGGGGATCTTGCTCTACCTGGATCCTTTCCTTCAGCTTCTGGGCGTACTTCTTCAGGTCACTGATCTTGCGGCCTCGGTGCTCCAGGTCCCCTTCCAGCTTCCGGACCTGGGCCTGCAGGGCCGACTCCTGCACCTGGAAGTTCCTGCGCAGGTCGGTCTCCTTCTCCTGCCACTGCCACAGGGCCTCGCTCACCGACTGCTGCATGGCCTGCCGGATGGCCTCGTTCTCCCGCTCGTAGGTGGCCCGCAGCTCCTCGGCCTTGCGGGCGTAGTCCTTGCTCAGCTGCTGGTTCTCCCCTCGCAGCCGCTCCACTTCCAGCAGCACCTCCCGCATCTCGGGCCCGGAGCTGGGCTCTGCCTTGGGGTCAGGGCCCTCGGGCGGGAGCCGGCCCCACGGGGGCGCCTCCTGGCTCATCAGGCGGCGCAGCCGCTTCTCGTAGTCGGCCTTGAGCTCCAGCATCTCCTTGGACAGCGAGAGCACCCGCTCGGCGTGCTCGGCCTCGGCGCGCAGCTCCCGCTCCTTGGTCTCCAGGCGGCACGAGGCCGACTGCGCCAGCGCCTCCTGCGTCAGCCGCCGCTGCAGCTCCAGGGCGCCCTCCAGCGCCTGCACGCGCTGCCGCAGCGCCTCCTCCCCCGCGCGGCCCTGCTCCTGCAGCAGCCGCGCCTCGGCGTCCGCCACCGCCTGGCGGAGCTCCGCCTGGTGGGCCTCCCGCAGCGCCTCCAGGCCGGCCTCGGCCTCGTCCTGGCGGGTGTTCAGGGCGTAGATCACCTGCGGGAAGAGCCGCAGAGCCAGTCAGTGTGTGCGCGCGCGGGGACCAGAGGAATCCTAGACGCAGGCGGGACCCCCAGAGTAGTACCTGGGAAGAGGGTGTGTGTGGAAGTGATTTATTAGAAATCGTGCCCAGCCCTAGCTCAGTGGACAGAGCGTCCGGCTGCGGACTGAAGGGTCCCAGGTTTGATTCTGGTCAAGGGCACATGCCAGGGTTGCAGGCTTGATCCCCAGTAGGGGGGTGCAGGAGGCAGCCAATCACAATCAATGATTCTCTCTCATCACTGATGTTTCTATCTCTTTCTCCCTCTCCCTTCCTCTCCGAAATCAATATAAAAGAAATTGTGTCCAGGAGAAACCTGTAAGGGAGCAGGGAAGTGGGACAGGGTGGACGCAAGAAGGGGGTGATAATACAGAAAGGGTGTCCATGGCAGTGTTCCCTAGGGACTTCTGCAGTGCTGTGGGGATCAGCTGGGCGTTCAAAACTTTAATTTGTTCAGAAAGAACACTTGGGATGCAAAACACAGAACATAGAATTCAGCTATACATAGAAAGGATTCTACCCCAGATCAAGGGGGAATGCACCTCATACACCATAGTAGGTACTCATCACAGTAGAAACTCATACATAGTAGGTACTCATACATAGTTGGAACTCATACATTGTAGAAACTCATACATAGTAAGTACTCGTTTCCCAGTAGGTACTCACACACAGTAGGTACTCATACACCGTGGGTACTTATACACAATAGGACACATACACTACAGTAGGTACTCACACACAGTAGGTACTCACACACAGTATGTACTCATACTCAGTAGGTTCTCATTACACAGTAGGAACTCATACATAGTAGGTACTCATACACAGTACTCATACACCGTGAGTACTTATACACAATAGGACACATACACTACAGTAGGTACTCATACACAGTAGGTACTCACACACAGAAGGTACTCATACACAGTAGGTACTCACACACAGAAGGTACTCACACACAGCAGGTACTCACACACAGCAGGTACTCACACACAGAAGGTACTCATACACAGTAGGTACTCACACACAGAAGGTACTCACACACAGTAGGTACTCACACACAGAAGGTACTCATACACAGAAGGTACTCACACACAGTAGGTACTCATACACAGTAGGTACTCACACACAGAAGGTACTCACACACAGTAGGTACTCATACACAGTAGGTACTCACACACAGAAGGTACTCACACACAGTAGGTACTCACACACAGAAGGTACTCATACACAGAAGGTACTCACACACAGAAGGTACTCATACACAGAAGGTACTCACACACAGAAGGTACTCATACACAGAAGGTACTCACACACAGAAGGTACTCATACACAGAAGGTACTCACACACAGTAGGTACTCACACACAGAAGGTACTCATACACAGAAGGTACTCACACACAGAAGGTACTCACACACAGAAGGTACTCACACACAGTAGGTACTCACATACAGAAGGTACTCATACACAGTAGGTACTCACACAGAGAAGGTACTCATACACAGTAGGTACTCACACACAGAAGGTACTCACACACAGAAGGTACTCATACACAGCAGGTACTCATACACAGCAGGTACTCATACACAGAAGGTACTCATACACAGTAGGTACTCACACACAGAAGGTACTCAAACTCAGTAGGTAAGCCTGCCACATGAACATCAAACTCATTTGTTTATAAAAAATGCTATTGTTTATTAAAAATCTCCACTTGAGTACCTAACGTGCATCTCAAATTTAACCATGGATTTTTCCTTCAAAACCTGCTCTTCCTACAATATTCTCCATCTCACTTCTTCCAGTTGCTTAGCTCAAATTTTAGAGCGGACCAATGAGCACGTGGAAAGATGCTCAGCATCACTCATCCTTAGAACCACAGTGAGATACCCCTTCACGTCCATTTGGATATTTATTGTAAAAATATAATAAAATTAGCCTTGATGAGGATGTGGAGAGATTAGAACCCTGTGCAGTGCTGGTGGGAATGTGCAATGGTGCAGCTGCGGAAGTGATATGATGATTCCTCATAAAATTAACCACAGGATTACCAATAATCCAGCACTTCCACTTCTGGAATTTCAGTTCCAAAACAACTGAAAGAAGGGATTAGATCTGTACACACAAGTTCACAGCATGATTCACACTAGCCAGTAGGTGGGGACAACTCAAGTGTCCATCAACAGATGAATGGATAAACAAAATGTGATATATACACACAATGAAATATTATTCCGCCTTTAAGAGAAAGAAATTCTGACACATGCCACTACACGGATGAATCTTGAAGACATTATACAAGTGAAATAAACCAGTTACAAAGGGACAGATATCATATGATTCCACGTATATGTCCCTACAGCAATACAATTCACAGAAACAGAAAGGAGGACGGTGGTTGCCAGGGTGTGCAGGGAGGAGGGAATGGGGAGTTCATGGTTAATGGGTACAGTTTCCCTTTAAAGATGAAAAAGTTATAGAAATGGTGGTAATGATTGCATAACAATATGACTGTAACTAACACCACAGAACTGTATGCTTAAAAATGGTACATTTTGCCGAAGCCAGTTTGGCTCAGTGGATAGAGCATCGGCCTGCGGACTGAAGGGTCCCAGGTTCGATTCCGGTCAAGGGCATGTACCTGACTTGCGGGCACATCCCCAGTGAGAGATGTGCAGGAGGCAGCTGATCGATGTTTCTCTCTCATCGATGTTTCTAACTCTCTATCTCTCTCCCTTCCTCTCTGTAAAAAATCAATAAAATATATTTTTTTAAAAAGGTACATTTTATGTAATTTATATTTTAGCGCAATAAAAAATTGTCTAAAAATTTATTGAAGTCACTCACACCCGACATCCACTCCATCAGCCAATCCCAACTCTCTCCACTTCTCACCATTTCACACTCCCCTTAATCTGGGCCATGAGCACCTCTCACCTGGACCACAATGGCCTCTTCATCCTGTTTTCTATCTTGCCACCTAGAGTCCGCTAAAGTCAGTCACCTGTGTCCCATCACTGCTCAAACTCCCCTGATGGCTGCACAGTGCACTCAGGAACAGCCAGAGCCCTGGGCTGGGGAGTGGAAACGCCCGGGAAGTGCAAAGGTCATGTGGTTGCTGTCCCTTCCTGTATGGAAATGGCTCGGAACCCGGCCCACACGAGGCTGGGCTCCTGCAAGCAAATGGGCTTGGAATGGATTTCTCGATGGAGTCCAAGACGCTAATTAAAATCTCACATCACCCATCAGAGAGCTGTTGCTAGGCGCTTGGCTGCACCAGGCATCGAGCTGTGAGGCATTAGCTTCTGAGTAATTGAAGCCCAACTGTCTCCCAAACCAAGTTCGATGGAGAAGTAGCTGAAAGGTGAGGGCTGTCTCTCCACAAGGCTCTTAATTAGAGCCCCTCCTCTTACCAGCCGAGGCGAACACTCACACAGACAGAGGCCAGCCTGCCTTCCAGTGAGTTTCAGCAGCAGCAGATGCGGGACCTGGAAAGGGACCGGCTTGTCTTTCTGATCTTGAACGACTTGTTTGCAGCTTTGGGAAGACAAAGACTAGTCACAGCTCCCTCGGTTCATCAATCTGATCAGTAGATATGCATGGGTGTTAGTGATGCTTCTTCTGTGAATAAAACCAGTACAGAGGAATCTTAACGCCTCTCACAGAAAATATTTTAACAGGGAAGTAATCCAGGTGGGAGCCGCAAAATCCAGGAAGGCAGGCCGGCCTGTGTCCCTGTGAGTGTTCGCCTCGGCTCTAAGTAAGGGCCTTGTGGTTGAACATCAACCTATGAACCCAGAGGTCACGGTTCGATTCCAGGTCCTGACACATGCTGGGGTTACCAGCTCGATCCTCAGTTGCAGGGAGGGAGGGGGGCATGCAAGAATTCTCACTCATCATTGATGTTTCTATTTCTCTCTCTCTGAAATCAATTTAAAAAAATTGCGTGAACTCAAAAGCAGAAATAGCCACTCCTCAAGTTTACCAGGCTGGCCTCCATGTTCCAGTCTCACCAGACAGACAATTAAACAATAATTGTTTTTGCCCCAACAGTTGGCCACTAAGTTCCTTTATTATTATTATTATGCTTGAAATTTGTGCACGGGGCGCAGCCCTCGCAGCCCCGGCTTTGTCCGGAAGGTCGTTTGGCTGTCCGTTCTAATGAGCATATTATGCTTTTATTATTATAGATTATTATTATTATGCCAGTTGATATCCCTCATCATTTATTTTGGGATGTGCTAGGCCCAGGAGAACAAATGAGGACGGAGCTCAGGGCTTCCAGCTCCTTCTATGGGCAGTCAGTGCAGGCAGGTCCTGCGGGTGGATGGGGGTGGGGGGTAGGGGGGTGGGGGGGGAGTGCACTGAGCAGAGCAAGGAAGAGCTCTGGTCAGACCTGGGCCAAGGTGTGCGGGGGAGCGAAGGATGCCACGGGAGAGCTAGGAGAAATACTGATTTAAGCCTCAGAGAGCAGATCTCAGCATACTAGTGTAGTTATTTTTATGTGGTCGAATTAGAGGGGATTTTAATTGTTAAAATTTTTATTTTGCGCCCTAACCGGTTTGGCTCAGTGGATAGAGCATCGGCCTGTGGACTGAAAGGTCCCAGGTTCGATTCTGGTCAAGGGCATGTACCTTGGTTGCAGGCACATCCCTAGTGAGAGGTGTGCAGGAGGCAGCTGATTGATGTTTCTCTCTCATCGATGTTTCTAACTCTCTATCCCTCTCCCTTCCTCTCTGTAAAAAATCAATAAAATATATGTTTTAAAAAAAAAAAAATTTTTATTTTGCTGTTTTGCATTTTCTAATTTCCTACAAAATATATATTACTTGGTAAATTAAGATGATCAAAGGAAAGGGAAATTATAAAATATTTTTAAAACCTCAAAATGATATGAACAATTTAACCATGAGACTTTTTTTTTCTTTATTGATTAAGGTATTACACATGGAT